GGGACGGGGGTTCCCGAGGGCTTGGAAGTTCCGAAGTGGTGGTTTGGCTGCATCCCCCATACCCCCCGATTTCGATTTTTTTGCTCCCCCGGGCCAGGCCGCTTTCTTGCGTAAGTGGGATTTCGGGGATGGATAGGTTCACGCCTGTGGAGATGGGAGGGAGGGATGTTTGAGGGTGTCTTTTGTGTTTTGGGAGGCTCGTGTGCTTGACTTCTGGATATGGGTTAATTCTTATCCTCTGGTCTGGGTCTGGGTCTGGGTCTGGAGCTGGGACTGGGGACGAGGAGAGATTGGAGCTTCGTATGCGGATGAAGTATGACCGGTTTGTTCATGACTTCCTCCTTCTGACGAGTCCAATGGTCGGAGACTTACATGGTTGTGAGCTCGTGGCTGGAGTCCAGGACCATACTGACCATCTACACGACACACGTCACGGTCCTAGCCTTGGGTACGTTTTCATCCATGCTTCGGGGGGTAATCTTCTATTTAAGAAACCAGGTCAGTTCTATGCCCACAGGAAACGCACGAACAGACAGAATTATCGGTCGATATTCCCCCGTCACTAGTAGCCTCTTATGCTGCTCTTCATCGTGGAGGCAAGCGGGCTATGTAACCCAGAGCAGCATAAGGAACGGCGCCCTCTCACGTCTTCTGTTCTTCAGTGTCTCTCGTCGAGTATTCCGAGTTCGAAGATCATAGGAGGCGTTGAATGTGCAGGCCGGGCCTGTGCCTGCAGTACCTGTCACCGCTCACTAGGAAGATGACACATTGATATCGATTTATCGTCGAAAGCGGACGCGAACCGAGGAACTACAGGCGCTGCTTGTTTTGAGCAAATACTTCCGATAGATCGTCGATCTTAAATAGAGACTCCTCAACGGAGTCGATGCTAAGATAACGCCAGAATATACTTTTCACGGTTGACCGCAGTCAGCTTTCATGCTCATCCCCAGACAAAGTAGCAACTGGGACTGGTATTTAAGCTTACATTTTAGTTAGCTGTGGTATGGGCCAAACGATATGTCCTACGTTTGGACTTGTGCACCTTTCCAGGCTGCTTCGGATTCTCTGATGGCACATCAGTTTTCTCTTTGAATGCAAACGGAGCCGGGGGGGACGGCGAATGCAGACTTTCTCTGTCTTTCATCCCCTCTCGGCGGTTATTCTGGGTTTGATTTTCTGGGCTTGATTATCCTGGGTTTAAGAATTGTTGGATTAGCCAGATGTGTAGGATAACACCCTTAGATACAGGCAAGGTAGGCGGCTTGCATGGTACTTGGTGGTTGTGTGGCAGATTGCACTCTGTGTGTTACAGCGTAAACTCCGCTCAGTGAATTGCTTTTATAGACCTCAAATGAATAGACTTGGCAAGGGATTCTATCTTGAAGCACATCATACTCTGTGGCCGCAGTCTTCTATCTGTGCCCTGTCGTTCCGTATCATCTCTACCTGATTATTCGGTCTCAATACGAAGTCCTCATCTCCAGACGTCTACTTTGCTGAGATCAGACGCAGCCTCGGATGCACCCACGAGGCAGGCCCTCAGTATAGTCAAGGAATCGGCCATCTCATTACGCATAATGCGGGACGTTCCACTCAGTGGATTCGGCTTCTATGGCGGACTTCATAAACTGGTATACCAGGTCCTAAGATGTGTGCAGGATGAACTTGTTTTATAGATTGGGCTGGTTGTCTTAGCTTGACGGTCTGGATTCCCCTATCCGCCCTACATACCTCTTGAAGTTGGCAACTACTATTGGTTCGAAAGGTTCTGCTTGGTGACGCTACTCGTCGCAAGAGCCAGGAGCTCGGCGGCGCCATGGCAGAGCTAGATGTGCATAAGGTCCAGAGAATAGTGGTGGTGCCAAAGGTCTTCTTGTTACCCAAGTGCTGCCGTTCCCCATCGCCTCTCGGCGATTATTCCAATAAGAGACTTACCTCGACGGCTCATGGACACGTACATCTGAGATTTCGACGTTGGATCGATGGGGATAACACCGAGCTTTGTGGTGCTTCCCGCCGCCCACTTGAAAGAAGACCTGGGGTATCTACGCGTTGCTTCTGGAAAAGGGCAGACGTACGATTTCTATGCCATATATATGTTCGAGATGAACACAGCTGAAAGAATGAAGCGCCAGACATGTAGGCTCAACCTTAAAGAGATTACGCGGAAGCTAGTGTTGGAGAGGGCTTTTTGTTCTCTTGTAAAGTCATGCTGGGCCGGGTATGGCAGTACAGAGAGCCCGCATAGTCAATGCTTTTCCTCCAATTTAGTCCTTACAGAAGATAGACTGAACTGAGATCTGGCGCGGTGGGCTTCGCGTCCGTCCTCACTACTTCCCGTGTATTTGATCCTGTATCCTCCTGTATCCTCGTCGTGTATGATGGAGCCAGGCGACAAGATGGATGTCGCCACCGAGAAGGCCTTCATCGTCTCACCTGGGAGATATTGTAACAGATGCCCCCGACAAGTAGATAAATCCGGTCTTGAAAGTTCGATTAGGTACCAACGACGCTTTTTATAACGCCAGCATCTGGTCTTCACTCTCCCATGCCGCTTCACTTCTCCTCGCTCTGCGGCCCCCCAAGCTGCCTTCCATCGAGTTCTTCCGGCCCCTGGCTGCGCCGCCCACATGAAATACGATTATGCCACACAATGTGTGCTACGTGAAGCCAACTAACAGTCAATTCTCGCAGTATATTCTCATTCGAGCTGTGGTTTTCTTGGTCTACCGGCCGATATCCTCTTTTCTCATATATAATTAGTTTGAGATGATCACTGGTACGTGGATATCGCGGCGCGAAATGGCATGTGCCTCGTCAAGAATGATCCAGGGTGGATCTGTGTGTTTGTGATCTGAACGCATGCTTGACGCAGTGTGATATTCAGCCTTCATCTTCATCATTTCCAACCAAAACTCGCTGGAGCCTGTTCTTCCTACTTAACCATCATCAAAGTACTCCCCAGGTATGCGATGAATAGGACAAGGGCAAGGATACCGGACGCCGGACGTGGTGCGAAGTGCCGTTGAAAGCTACGTCATGGCGATTTCGTGGCCTAGATTCGCTTGCTCTCCAATGCTCATAGGCTCGCTCAACAAGGAAGATCGACAAACCCCTACATGGTGCTGTGCTCGGAGCGGCTGTACTGAGAAAACTATGCTATGACTTTTATATCATCTCACTGTCTGGTGTGTGTCAAAGATTCTGACAGATGGAGCTGTGTATGGGCTAAAGACGTGTACTGTCCCCTTGCAGTCCATCGGTTGAAGAGAAACCAAACGCTTTCCCAAGAGGAGCACCAGTACCAACGACTGTCCTTATACTGCATCCGAGCTATCGACGCCAGATGTGTACTGCGTTGGTGTTCACTGATCTCCATCATCGTCTGTGACGTATTACTAACGTATTTACGACCAGGCATACGTGTCGGGGCGTTTTGAGAAAGTTGACTTCGTGGACAGCGCCCTACGACGAAGGAGAAGAGATGATGACCAGGCAGACAACAAATGGCAACTTTGTCCCCGAAAGAAATGCTGTGTCGATGCGAAGACGCTGGTTATAAGGAGTACATTGGGCGGAGAAATTCTCACTCGACGACAGTCCAGCCACCAGCGCCGGAATTGGGTGAGCTGGGTTTCACTACTGGGTATGTCGTGCTCGATGTGAATCTACCTTCGATCTGTTCTCTTGAGAGATATAAGAACTTTTTTCCTTCGTGAGGCGCTTGGTCTCAACACCAACGGAATGTCAGGACTTCCATTGTCTCCTGGCAGCGGTGAACTGACGTCGGAATCCTCGATTTCGCCGCAGCGTAGATCGCATCAAACCGGAGTGGATCTTCTTGTACCGAAACGCACTCGAATCAACGCGAATTGTTCCGTCTTCAATACTTGGGAAGCAGTAGAGAAGAAGAAAAGAACTTAATGATGATTACCTCATTTACTGGAGTACGAGTCGAATTATTCCGGCCACATCAGTATGCGTTGGCTGCACCACTAGACACCTCTGACTCTTCCCACAAGATGACTTCCATCCATCCCCAGTCATACTTTTATCAAAAGACCAACCGGTCTCACTAACGTTTATAGACATTCCTTTCGTTGACGGGCTCCGGTTGGCCATATCTTCGTCAGATCGTCAAGGGAATGAGACAGCGGAGAACCTCCAAGCAACCTGCAAGCCTCGATCGTAACAGACATACGCTTCAGCATGTGTCCAAAATTTGTGCATCTCCATCTCTGAGTGGATTCTGGGCGGACAAGGCACGTCGTCTCGCTCCAGTGGATCGTAGACGTCTAGGACTCGCACAACGCGTAGCCATCTATCATGATTCATGGACGCAAATCCTCATTGATGTTCGGCTGATCACCAGCGATGCAGTTGGTGGAGGGATAGTGATGATGCCGGCTCAAGATGACACGGTTAAGCTCCCACGTCGAGCGGAGCCGCGAAGGGACGCAGAACGGCCTATATAATTGAAGACTGCAAGATAGCGAAGCTCATCAACCAATCTATCATCGAGTTTTGGGTGCTTAAAGTGCTGATCCCACGAAGTTCAGAGAGTATTTAAAGCCAGGCGGGATGACTCTCCCTATACTCATGTCTCGATGCGGTGCTTCAGGACATATCATTGTTGTCATCCGTCATCCTCACGGGTTTATTTGGTGGAATACGCGGTTGAAGATATCTCATGGGTACCCCCTCCCTCCAAAAGGTAGGAGAAACGAGGTGTTCGGGTCCATGAAGCCTGAAAGAATCGAAAAACACGTTTCAGAAGAGACCTAGAGATGTGCTTAGATCGACATCAGAGCTCTCCGTGTTGTTTTATATCGGCCAAGAAACCCCAACTTGTTGCTTTGACACCGGTTGATTCTCGCTAGGAACGGATACAATGGACCTGGCTGACTTCTCTGATTCATGATTATTTGTACACATGTATAAACGTTGAACGCTCTTCCTGGAAATCCAGTCTTGCCACGGAATGCTCACCTGCCACCTCACAACTTGGTGGCTCCAGCATTGCCGTCCACCTCTCCGAATAAATGCATGAATGCGCCGTGAACCTCATCCGTGAGATCACTCGCCTGCAGACTGCGTCCCTTCTTGATGAAGGCTCTCCTCGAACATTCCTGATTTCCAAGTTAGCGTCAATCACTCACAGATCCCGCCAACACAACTTACCCTCGTGATAGCACTACCGCCAAAAGCAGCCAACCTCACAAGCTCATCCTCCGGGATCTTCTTGTCACCCGTGTCCCAGAGTCCATCCAGATACGCCTTCCTCCAACCCAAGAACGTCGCAATCGACCCGGTGAGAGTATCACCCTGTCCACCGCTTCTCTTGAGCCCGCCCTCCAAATCAACGATCAGCGTATCCTTGCCATTCGTAATAAAATCCTTCGCGCCCTTCTGTATAATCGTGACACCGTCCAAAGCCTTGGCCAGCGCCTCGACCTTTGCCGTCTCCTTCTCGTCGCCGCCCGATGCGCCCTCCTTCGCCTTCGCCTCATCGATACCGAGCGCCTTGCACAATCGAGAGAACTCAACAACGTTTGGCGTAAGAACAGCAAGCGCGTACCCCTTCACCAGCTCCGGCTCCTTCTGCACGATTTGAAGAGCATCAGCGTCAAGTACCAGCGGAATCGAACGCTCCCGGGCGGCGCGGATGACACGGGTAACGGTGTCCTGCATCAGCGGGTCGCGGCCGAGACCGGGTCCGATGACGAGGACGTGCAGGCGGGAGAGCATCTCAATGATGGGGCCGGAGATCTTGTCCGGGTCCGTGTGGGCGTCTTTGGTGCCGCTAGGGGCCTCGTCGGAGGGGGACTGCCGCATTAGAGGGTGAACCATGAGGTTTGGCGAGTAGGTCTTGATCGTGGCGGCGGCGCCGGGAGTGCAGATGACGTGGGACTGTCGGTGTTAGCGATCTGTTCTATGAGACCTGCTTCATGACTCACCATATCGCATCCTAGCCTGGCGCTCGCCATGGCTGAGAAGTAAGGAGCGCCCGTGTAGTCTACGCTACCACCGAGCACGGCGACGCGGCCCAACTGTCCTGTGTTGATCGTGAGCATCATGAGTAGCACCCCGTAGTAGTTTCACAGACGGAACATGACGACTTACCCTTATGGAACTTTTCCAGCATAGGCGGAATCATCCGCTGTACGCGGCCGAGGATCTCCTTCGTTGCGGAAGACATGGCTAGTGTGGATTCAGATGGCATCGCAAGAGTGAGCAGCCTATGATGGATCGAAAGGACGAGCTAGGGGTGAAGATTAAATAACGCAGTGAGATGCGCAGGAGGCTATGATTGAAAAGTGACGCCGATCGTGGGTTCAATGCAAAATTGCTGAAATGCGAGTGGTTACGAGACCTTGACGTTTGAATTGGGTTGTTGTTCGGTGCGAGTGGCAGGTGTTTGAGAGGGGAGTTAGGATCAGGAGCTCTGACTGGCGGATGATGTCACTTGCCGACAACCCAATTGCAGCTTCCAGTTCCACACCAGCATCTCAGTCCACATAAGATTATGATTGTATCAGCCACAAGAAGCTGATCAAACTCGCCCAAGCTACCTATCTAGATTAATGCTGCTCCTGCCGCTATTATGACTTGCTGCTGTTGCCATTGCCCTTGTACCTGTCGCTGCCGTTGCCTTTGAATCTTACAAGTATTCATATCCTAGTATAATGCCCTCGCAACGCTATCACATGAAGGATTCACGCCGCGATTAAACATAAGGGTCATGGTATTGAAGGACAAAAGGAATCGAGGGCGTTAATTGAGTCTTGAGCTCTATTTTACAAGTGGTTCGACTGGAGATCCTCCCCCAGATCGCGTCCCCTGGTGCTTCCCTCGGACCGGCGCAAACCCTCGAGATTTCCTCACGCCTCTAGAGAAACAGAAAACTTCGGTATAGACAGCTACATCAACCCCATGCGCTCCCAGTCGGACCATTTATTACGTCAGATTTGACTTAAATTTAGCCCAGGAAGCTCTTGGTGAAGTTGTTGACAACGTCCTTGAGGCGGCCCTCAAGCTCCTTGCTGAGAGCACCCTCCTTGTCGATGGTGGCGAGAAGGTCAGACTCGTTGGTCCTGAGGTGGGCCAGGAAGTCGGCCTCCCACTGGAGAACCTTGCTGACGGGGACGGAGTCGAGCTGACCGTTGACACCGGCGAAGATGAGAGGAACCATCTCGTTGACGGCCATGGGGGAGTACTGCTTCTGCTTGAGGAGCTCGGTCAACTGCGGAGTGTCAGATTAATTCAAATTGCAGGAGTGGATGGGTCGCAACTTACGCGTTCACCTCTGCTGAGGGTCTGCTTGGTGGCGGCATCAAGATCGGAACCGAACTGGGCGAAGGCAGCGACCTCACGGTACTGAGCCAAGAAAAGCTTCAGGGAACCAGCGACTTGCTTCATGGCCTTAAGCTGGGCGGCGGAACCGACACGAGAGACGGAAAGACCGACGTTGATGGCGGGACGGACACCCTTGTAGAACAGCTCGGACTCCAAGAAGATCTGACCGTCGGTAATGGAAATGACGTTGGTGGGAATGTAGGCGGAAACGTCACCACCCTGGGTCTCAATGACGGGCAGGGCAGTCATGGAACCACCGCCGTGCTTGTCGCTCATCTTGGCGGCACGCTCGAGGAGACGGGAGTGCAGGTAGAAAACGTCACCGGGGTAAGCCTCACGTCCGGGGGGACGACGGAGCAGCAGAGACATTTGACGGTAAGCGACGGCCTGCTTGGAAAGATCGTCGTAGATGACGAGAGAGTGCTTTCCATTGTCTCTGAACCATTCTCCGATCGATGCTTCATACAAATATTAGCACGGAACACATTCAGAGTTGATCTGAAGTTGTTTGGTGATGTTTTGGTGAAGTTTGGGTGATGGTGTTGTTCGGGCGGCGGCCGACCGGGCAATCGCCGGAAAAGTGGAGACTCCGAACTTTAACCGGCGAATACTCGGGGGACAGGGACGGGACAAAGAGGCAACGACAGCGGCAGGGACAGGGATAAAAACGGCAGCAGGGACGGGGACAGAGAAGGAGCCAGGGAGGGATGGGAGTGTAAACATACCACCGGTGAAGGGAGCAATGTACTGCAGAGGGGCGGCCTCAGAGGCAGTGGCGGCAACAACGATGGAGTACTTCATGGCGTCGTTCTCCTCGAGGGTCTTGACGAGCTGGGCGACGGTGGAACGCTTCTGGCCGACGGCGACGTAGACGCAGTAGAGCTTCTTGGTCTCGTCGTTGGAGGAGTTCCAGCGCTTCTGGTTAAGCATGGCGTCGAGGGCGACGGCAGTCTTTCCGGTCTGACGGTCACCAATGATCAACTCACGCTGACCACGGCCGATGGGAACCATGGCGTCGATGGACTTGAGACCGGTCTGGACCGGCTGGTTGACGGACTTGCGGGGCAGGATACCGGGGGCCTTGAGCTGGGCACGGCGCTTCTCCTTGGTGTTGAGGGGGCCCTTGCCGTCGATGGGGTTACCGAGAGCGTCGACGACACGGCCGAGAAGCTCGGGACCGACGGGAACGTCGACCTATCATGCATGGTCAGCTGTCGTCCGGGTTGGCGGCTACCAGTGGTTCAACTCACAATCTCTCCGGTACGCTTGACGGTCTCGCCCTCCTTGACCAGACGGTCAGAACCGAAAAGCACAACACCGACCTGGCCGGCCTCGAGGTTCATGCACATGCCCTTGACGCCAGAGGCGAACCTGGAGATGGGTTAGACACGGGAGCATCCTAGGGCGGATAAAAGGGCGCTTAACGTACTCGACAAGCTCCTCAGCCTGGACGTTGGCCATGCCGTGAACACGGGCGATACCATCACTATTTACCAGCCGATCGTCAGCAAAAAAAGTTTTTCCCAGTCGTCGGCCATGTTGACATGCGAGTCCTCGTGCAAGCTGATGATGCAATGAAGCTTTTCCGATGGTTGCTCGCGATGCCGAGATGTGCCGCCTAAACGTACCCGACGGAGAGGACGCGGCCGGTCTCGGCGAGACCAGCCTCCTCCTGGACACCACGAATTCTCTGCTCGAGGATGGAAGAAACCTCGGTCGGGGAAGCCTTGTCGGCGTATGAGCGAGACTGCATCGACGTGGCAGTGAAGGCGGCGGGTGCGGCATTTCGGGCCTGAGGGTGGAAAAAACAGGTTAGCCGAAGCCCGAAAATGTTATGGGCTGTCCCCTCCCAAAACAGCAACGCATCCCCCAAGGGAGCTCGATGAAAAGCTCTTCCACGGCAGCACCGCGCGTTCCGCGTCGTCAAAACAGCTCGAGGTGGTGTAATTGACCCATGCAGAAGCGATTGATGATGTTTTTGGATGGAATTGACGTCGGTTCGGTGATGGGGAGGTTGGCGGATGGTTGAGCCGGGACTGGACTTACGGCAGCGACTCTGCCGGCAGCAGAGACGGCGCCGACGGCGCGCGTCGACTGTCGGAGGGCGTTGCGGAACATATTAGGAGATCTTGGACACTGTCTAGATCGAAGGAGAATCAATTGCAACAGATGCAATTGAGTGGAGGGGAGATTGGGGTTGATGAAGGTGCCTTTGAAGGAGTGCAAATCGAGTCTTTTTTGGAAGAAGCCCAGTGGAGGGAAAAGAGAGTGAGGAATGGGTGGACCCGGAGCTGTGCTGACCGGCCAATCACGGTCGGTGATCGAGTTTTGCCTCAGTCCAAACCCGAGATCACCCTAACGCCTCTTAACAATTTCCGACGAACAGTACGCAGTCCCGTAACCCCGTGAATTGCCTTGCTCAGGTGTATTACATAAGACGCTGAGCGCTGTAGCGCCCGGCTGTCAGTGTCGCTGATGGATCTCATCTCAACCGAAAATTTGTGTCAATCTGGCTTTCCAGCGCGCATCGTGCCCATTGAGTTTGCGGCTAATCGCTGCGCAGGTGCACTACCACCAGCTCACTCCCGTCTGCTCGGTCGACAACCATGAAAAACGGGCCAGAAATATGAGTTTATGTTGTCGCGATAGCTTCACAGAGCCGGCGTTCAACTTATAATAAATCGCATGCACGTTGCGGTTAGCCTGCTTCCTGGCAATTGCCCCCTTCCCCGGCTTTACAGCGCAGAGCTCTCCACTGTGGCATTCCCACCCAACCAACTCTTCAAGGGAGGTGTTTTTGTGCACGCGTTGAGAACCTGGACGTCAATTGCATCCGCTGTGGGAACATGTCTCCGGCCGGCCGGGAACACCGAGCCTGAGCGCCTCGGAGGAATCCTGAAAACCGAGTCTCTTTAAGCTGCCGGCCGCAACGGTAAGGTACTGAACCCCACAATCTTACCCCAGCAAGTCGCACTCGCGACAATGATTTCCCGTCGCACAGTGCGAGCGCGACAGCAGGGGACACTGCATTTTACACCCACAAAATTGCAATCACGATTTGATGCGAAATTGTAGAGAAATTGATAAGCTTTATTGAGCCGATAAGCTAGCTAAACCACCAACGCCAAAAGTATCTACCATAACTCCGTTCTCACGAGGTCATACTACGCGACGTCATCACAGCATGTAGAAGATTGTGGTAAGCCGGCATGGGCGCCGGTCGGTCTCTGAGGCCGCAGCAAGACTGAATTTTGATCAAGTCAAGCCTGTCTTATCTGACGATACCAACTGCTGGAAGAGTACATTCCCTTTTTTCCATGTCCCGTTTTCGCCAAATGTCCGTAAACCCGAGCCGTCCCAGTGTCCGTTTTGTGATCATCGTAGAGGTGGTTGACGCATTTATCGGACAATGCCGTCGAAGCGCTGCTTGAACCACTTGACGGTCTCCTCGCGCTTGATCTTGTGGTTGGTGCCGACGCGGCTCTTGGCGCGGTGACGGGTAGCGACGCGCTCACCCTTGCGGGTCATGCAGACGTAGAAGTCCATGCCGTAGATACCGATGGAGGGGTCGTACTTGATACCAAGGTCGATGTGCTCGCTGATACCGAAACCGAAGTTGCCAGTCTCGGAGAAGTTGCGCTTGCGGAGCTCGTACTCCTTGACCTTGAGGCCACGCTCGAGAATCTCCTCAGCCTGTTCCATCGGGTCAGTCCTGCGTTTGCCGTGATTGGAAGTTTGCGAATTGCTGTTATCGTACCTTGGGGCCACGGACGGTGACGTGGACGGAGATCTTCTCGTTACGGCGGATACCGAAGGTACGGACGGTGTAACGAGCCTTGCCTGAAACGTTGGTTAGTCGGCTGTTCCATTGCGTCGGTGAAGGATCATGTTGACTTACTGTAGACGGGGGTCTGACCGGAAAGCTGCTCCAAGACCTTCGCGGCACGGGTCAGTCTGTCACCAGACTCGCCAACAGCTATAGAGATATTAGCGAAGAACGAGAGACTGCTGATACGAGAAGAACGGACAGATGTTCAAAGTCAGCTTGCGGAGGTGCAGCTCGCGCATGGGGTTCTGGCTCTTGTCGGCGGACATGTTGGCGGTTAGTATTGTCGGTGACCGTTGGTGATGTTTTCGGGTGGTGCGAGGTGTAAGAGGGGAAAAAAAGTTCGGGCACTGTAAGTGAACGCAAAAAGTACCTGGGCTTAGCAGCCCTTCCAGCAGGGTTGGCGACGAATGCTAGCCGAGACGGGTCTTAGCGCCGTTGGTTGTGGACCGCTACCTATCCTGTAGCTTACCTAAGGCCATCGACTGGGTTGGCCTCAGCTCAGCCTTCCTCAGCCTCCTCCACCGAAATTTGTCTGGAGAGGCCATACCCACTCTGACCTTGTCTGAAGCTCTGCCTACAGCAAGTATCCAAGGTCGCGCCGAAGTCTATCAAGCTTCGTCACAAAACAAGATCAATTTTTGAAGATCTCGAGAAGCTACGCAAGTAGCATCTCAACTACACATCCGCCAAGATGTCGAACAAACAGGGCAAGATGGTTAGTGCTCCTCACCTTCGTTTCCAAAAGTTTGAAGGTTGACAATACAGGCTGACACGATATGACTTCTCTCTAGGCCGGTTACGTATGTAACGATCCTCGATCACTCCCCGAGCCGTCGACGGCACGGTCGCGCGCAACATTCACTAACTTGTCTCCGTAGATCAACTACCGGATGAGAGTCACCCTCAACGATGGCCGCCAGATGACCGGACAGATGCTGGCTTTTGACAAGGTGCGAAGCACAACCCCCTAATCGCGTGTCTACGCCTTCGCTAACTGTCTCTGCAGCACATGAACCTCGTGCTCGCCGACACCGAAGAATTCCGACGCGTCAAGATCAAGCAGAATAAGCCTGCTGCCCCCGGAAGCTCTGGCTCGAGCCAGACCATCGAGAAGGAAGAAAAGCGCACGCTCGGTCTGACTATCGTTCGTGGCGCCCACATCGTGTCGCTGTCTGTCGAGTCGGAGCCTCCCGCAGACCCCAGCGCGAGACTCGGCAAGAGCGCGCCGGGAGGAATCTCGTCGACTCTTGCTGCCGGTCCTGGTGTCGCAAGACCCGCCGGCAGAGGCGCTGCCCCTGTGCCTCCCTCTTTGGCCGTATGCATACTCAACACCTCATCGCACGAACTCCATGCTAACGTTTCTCGCAGGGCCCTGCTGCCGGCGTTGGAGGCGGCGCTCCCCCCGGATTCCCTGGTTTCCCTGGTGCCCCGCCCTTTGGTGGACGTGGAGGTGAGTTCTCAAGACCATTTAATCCGCGATTTAGATTCTCACACCTTCCAGCGCCCCCTCCAGGCTTCCCTGGCGCGTTCCCGCCCCCGGGTTTCCCTCAGAACGCCTTCCCTCCTCCGGGCTTCAACCCCGGCCCTCCTGGTGGAGCCCCTGGCTTCAACCCTCCCCCCCGAAGATAAGCTACGAACGAATAAGTCGGCGCCTCACATGCTTTACAGTCGGCGGTTGGTTCACGGATACCATTGGCGTTTGGGGATGAATGTCGAGATTACGAACAAACGGGCACAACAAGCGTGTTGATTAGGCCCCCTGAACAAATCACCAAGTCAGCCTGCCAGTCTATAAGTTGGATTGCGGAGAGGAGAGTGGCAGCACGAACTTGAACAAAAGTGTTTCCTGTTGGTTGGAAGCCTGTTTGCAGCTACAGAAGTCAATGACGGGCTGTTTCGCGGTGCAGTATAGACTGAGTTGATCAAAATCAAAGAAGTTTCTCGTAAGCAGCCTACATCTGTTTTCTGTTATCACATGTCATGTGGGTTTTATGCGTACTTCGCAAAATGTTTTGGTGGTTTTGACCTCAGAAGCCTGTCGTGATCTACGTCGTATCAGGCCAAGCATAAGTGCAACAACTGCGGGCAAAGAAGCGATTCTGTTTGATTCGAAGGTTTCCAAGGTAGTAAAACATAATGAAAGAGAAGCCACCCAAGATAGAAGCTGATTGGCATCGTGAGGGGCATTGATGTGAAAGTATGCATAGTCACCGGCCAGCCGCAGATGTGATTGTTTTGCATCTCTGTCATTGGATTGAAGTTTGCAGACATCTAGCAAACACGCTGCATAATACTCCGCATATGGCAATGCAAACGCATCAACTGGAAGGGAGAGTAGTATTGCTCTTAACGAATTCGGCAGGCACCGGCAGCGATTTTGAGTTGATAAAGAGGACCACTGCGCCTGCCTCATTCGTTCGACTCTCTTCACTTCCGACTTCCCAGGCGGGCAATCCTCTCCCACCCGAATTCAGGGAGACTTTGCTACTTTCTTCGCACCAACGATCGAGCCAACTCCTCACACATCGAAAGTTGATACCTCAATCAACATGGGTCGCTGGGGTTTCCGTACAGTCTCCCATTCTCCCACCACCATCACGCCGGTGCTGACATCGTTCCAACAGGTCTCTTCGAGGGCGACGTCGACCTCGACTTCGCCGTCGCGATCAACGAAGACTTTCCCATCAAGGACTTCGCCCTCAGCAAGATGGTCCACCAGACGGACCAAATGGCGGGCCCGGATATGCTAAAGTTCTACAAGTCCGACGAGTACCGCAAGGAACTGAAGGGACAAGTCGCCAACGTCCGCAAGCAGCTCGACGCGGGCCTCTGCGACAAGATCTTCGAGAAGTACCGGCCGCTCGAGCACGAGAAGGACGGCCAGTTCCGCGTCATCCTCGTCGGCGCCCTGATGATGCGCGCTGGGGCCAAGATCAAGCAGGACGACCTGGACCACCTGAAGGAGCTCGCCGATGGCATGGAGGGTGAGCACGGATTCAGTTACGGCAGGGCTTTCGATATCCTTCATCAGGATGAGAAGAGCCCGCTTCGTTATCCCGGGAAGGTGCAGTTCCTCACTGCGCTGGAGAACTACAAGGCCGGAGTCCCGCGAGACTTTGGCGAGCCGAGGTATGTCGGACCCGATGTCTGCGGTTGGATTGATCTCGGCTGCTGACATGGGAATCAGCTGCTTCAACTGCGGTAAGATCGAGGCTGATCTTGGAGCGGTGCCCAAGAAGTGTGGAAAGTGTGGAGTGGCCTGGTTTTGCAATGTCGTGAGTGCCGGACCCAGCATGTCCCAGGGGATTGACGGTCATCTAACAATATCATAGGATTGCCAGAAGGAGGCTTGGAAGAACCACAAGCTGGTGTGCAAGACAAGGAGTGAGAAAAATGGAATGATCAATGTCTAAGATGTGGTCCGGAGAATAAGGGTCGACGACTTGGCTTGCAGTACAGCTCCCTCCGAAATACTGGCATTTGTTCTAGAAGACGTTTACACGGCCGTTAGGATGTGTTTCGAGATGGAGTGTGCGAGGTGTAATGAGATACTTCGCATTTGACCATGGTCTGATGAAAGTGAGATTGGTCATGATGCCACAATGCTGCCTGAACTTCCAACCCCGCCAACGAATGATACATTCGGTAGAGTGATGGTCTAGATGGATCTTTGATCATGACTGGTAAGTCATCAACTTTTGGACACGCATGGCTTCGAGCTGTAAGCTTTGTTTCCTGCGTGGCCAAGAGGCAGCTCACCAACAAAGAAGTTAGAAACATTCACAGATAACCACGGGTTTTTCATCGCGCACCAGGGCCTCCCCCTGTGGCATTTCATAGGGATCAAACCTCAAGTCCTTTTATTCGGACTGTTGTCTCGTATTTCTAGACCACGTTGTCGTGTCAACTTCAACGGTGATCCAATTCAGGTTTCCTTCGACTGGACGAACTGTGATTTCAAATTTTCCAATGAAGACACTGTTGGCGTCCTCGCGATGGATCTAGTTCGCAAACTGACACATATGGCAAAGGAAGGTTTCGTATCTCGACTGATGGATGTTCTGAATACTGAACAAGTTTCAAGGATGGAGCGTAGGTACTTGTGGGTGGCCTCGTTAAAAAGCGTCAAGCTTGGACAGATTTTAGACCAGCAGGACTTGTTGTATTTGTATTTTTTCTTGCTGCAAATCCCTCGCGAGCACCTCACTGCGCAGACCCGCATGGGAATGGTTCTCTGAATACCTTAGCTAGCTTCCTGCACATTGGGGTTGAGCGCCATACCGGTTCTGGTCTTCGTCCTGATCCTTGTGTTATTCAAGCCACGAATTCCATACCCGAGCACAATCTTCAGGTGTTACAGCGAGCCTTTCGTTCTTGTGAGGGCTGTTATCATATTGGGCATCTTGGTAGCCACTCGCGTAACCTACAGATCTAATCAGCGTACATGAAGACCAGACAAGTTGTCGTGCTGTGTGTAGACCACGCAGCGGGCTGTTCAGTGAAGCACATATAATGCCGAAACACTGCCGTTGCCGTCACAGCTGCGCTCAGCCAGGCAATGCGCCTCATGTATCGGTAATCAGCCACGAAGGAGGAGCGTTCTTCATGCTTGTACACTTCGCAGATTCGTGATATACTCGGGGCCTGATATAAAAGACCGATCTTTCAACCTATCTCAGGACCAGAAGCCACAATCAGGCTTTTGTGTGTGATTCCATGAAGATTGTAGGGTGAAATGCAATAACACTCTCTCTTCTATTCTATTCAGTAGCACTCACAGTTCTAGTTCATCTTCGCTCCCTACCTGAAGCCTGTAAGATTGATAAGTCCGCCTCTTATTCACGCGTTCTCGGGCTTGGATACTCCCGCGAGAACAGAGATGACGGATCCCGTAACGTTGATCTGGTTAACGACATTCTGGTGGGCATTTGGAGGTTGATACTCATGCAACTGTAGGGTCTGCTTCAGAAGTCATCTGCTTGAAAATGCAGCAAAAGCCACGGCGCTGGCGCTGCGGAAGATAACTCTACTGTAGAGACATCACTTATACGAGTCGACCTTCACCAACACGTGAACTTCATCGCGCTTACGGGGCTATCAACATTCGAGAGCAGTTCTATGTCAACCTCGGCGACGACGCGCTTTCCTTCGTTCATTCCCCATGGTCGTGGGTGGCACTTCAACAACGTCATCGACTAGTGTTCTCCAACTGACTTGTATTAAGCCCATTCAACCCAAATGAGACCTAGGTACACAACCACGGCTTTAGAGTAAAGATCGACTGTGGTGATGAGGTTTAGCAAGACACCTACGGATGTCAAGCATGTGCTGATGTGGACGTGAAAAGACCAAACCAAAGCCCCGGGGACGACACATCAACCATCTTATTCCGAGACTTTGACCTCAATACTCCGGGAAGGACAGAGATGACGGAGCCCTCTCCGGTTGTGCTCCGTTTGAACCCTAAGGGAGTTGATTAACGTTTCAGCGGTCTATAGCGTTTCCTCCTCCGTACGAAGGGGAACTCGACTCAGTCGATCGCCGTGACGATGGGATTCGATGACGGATTCACCGACGTGGCCTGAACAAGGTCTAGACGAACAAACACTAATCTAATATACTAGACCGATCAAGTCCCAAAACGGGGCCCGAATGTACTGCTTTGGCTAGTTCCAGTACCGATTGCATTTCCTCGCATACTGTCGTACTGGCTGTGTGTCGAAACACCTTGGACCAGACATCCATACTTTATATATAGAGTATCAACGGTGACTACGATCTCGAAACCCCCCAACCGTACTCGGTGTGTCCTCGTCTACTCACTGGAACTAGAGTGGAAGATGCTGCAGCGGTAGCATGTCCCCGTTTGAAAGTCCCAGGCTGCACCGGCTGGCTTGACAATAACCCAGCACTCGAGCCCCCTCCCCTATTCTTCTCTTCCTGTCTCTGTCGGTCTGAGCTTATTAGGATGGTCATAAACAAATCACTGGAACCTAGAACCTATACAAGACCGACGAAACGCTGGCTGCTGGAGGTTCCGTTCGGGGAGGAACGATGAATTTGATAGCGATTGAGTACTTCAAGCACCCCTTACAATGCGGCCGGTGAGCTGATCGCTGGTCATTAAGGTCCTGATCAGACACAAACCGTTCACGAGCACCCTCTATATAGGGACCCGGAGCAACGTCGCAGTCCTTACTACGCAGTAGCCTCTCGACTTCCCTTCTGGGAGCTCATTATGTGGACGAAATATTGTGGAAGATGCGTCTTAAAGATCGACATGTGGCGGCCCAACTCCCACGAAGACTTTGACTCTCCGTAGACCCCTTCCAAAAAGTCGCCTTTCTCGTGAAGTCAACTATCATATCAATCTCCTTCTGAATTCGATTCCTCGTAGCACGCTATCAACGATGTAACATCCAGTACTTTCTACCCACATAATTAACCCTCTATCCACACACTTCTCAGAGCGACTGACCAAACACATCCTCCATCACAACTTCTCACCTCAAACCTCCCACGCCCAACTTTCACGCCATCCAAATACACCAATCTCACAAAGCAAACCAAACCCTCCTCACCTTCCAAACCAAGTACCCCATCCCACTAGCTCCCTCACCCTCACCACCGGCTCATCTTCCCCTAGCCCCAACTCCCGTGCGTCCCGGACGCCTCCATCCTACACCGGTCCAGATTCCCGCACGTCCCTCGGAGCCGTCGCGGAAGATAAGAAACCCTCAGACCTCCGAACTACCTTGGACCATCGCAGTAGCACCAAGAGTCCTAGCACTAGCATCCTGCCAATGACATGTCCCGCCAGGCACTTGACGTCGCCGCAGATCTCCACGCCGTTCGCGCGCTTGCATCGGAGGCCCCTGGAGCCAGTGAGCCTCACGATCCAATCACGATGCTCGACTTCAGGAACAACTCCAGAGGACATGGATGATGGAAAGGCACGATATCACCATTCTCCCACCCGTCGTCTCACCAACACCCACGGCCCTTTCACTCCTCACACAGCCGCGTTTCCGCGTCTCTAACAGCTAGCAAAGAACGCGGACGAAAAACACCAGCTACCCTAAAGCCCTAGCCATCAAATGAAGACACCACCTCCATCACGAACTCACATCCCAACTCCGACATCATACTCCAACCCAAGCCTCACCTATCCCAAAAAGCAAAAACGTGCGTGCGTAAAGTACGCCTTCTGGGACCAAAAGACGGACGATTACCATGCAATGCAACACGCACACCTTCCTACCTGCATGTCTAAACCAGTCCAGTCCAGTCTAGAGTAAGGCACAGGCACAAGGCACCCAGATAAGACACTGACAAGCAAACTCCAAAGGCCATCATCCCATCATCATCATCATCATCCCGCCGTCGCACTCAACCAATGCGACAACAACCCAGATTACTCCCACTCAAATTTCCCAGTGTCGTAGCGTCTGTCCCCAGTCGAAAGAAACCCGCTGCCCACCACCCGGAACCTTTTCCCCTAGTAGGTAAGGGAGGTGCTCCAACCCCAAGAGCATGCAACACTAACGCAAGTAATCCTCACCCAAAAAAAAAAAAACCACTCACTTGGCGCAAGCGAAGGACCCAACACAACGGCAACGACGGGAAAGATATATTACAACATAAGCACCTTACGTACGTACGCCACCCCAGGCAACCCCTTGCAAAATGCCATGCGAGCGAGAGCGAACCACCACCACCACCACGACCCGGATCCCCCACCCCCACCCGACCAGCGTCGCGGGAGGTTTCAACAGGGTTCCCCGGCCGCCGCCGGCCTGCGGCTCGCCCGCCCGCTCGCTCGCTCCAGGTTCTTGTCAGATTTTCGATCGAACCCATCTTGCGCGCTCTCGACTATGATATGTACCAAGGAAGTTTGGTATCGCGGAACGGGGTCTACCCCTGAGGTTGATGCGGCGCTGACAGCTCAGCCTCCCACGACTCACGACGTAAGTGTATTCGAGGCGGGGTCGAGTTGCAACTGCTTTACTTAGTCTCTCTTGGAAAAAACCAAGGTTAGTGCGAAATAGATCGGATCAAGGTGGCATTGGCAGTGAGTGTGCTATTTGGGGTCGGTTGAGCACCGGTAAAGCCGGACCAGGTCGGGTTTCATGACGCATGCACGAGCGCCGAGAATACCAGCGCATGAAGGTGGGAGACAGATTGAGGAATCGTGATGCTTTTTTCCATTCATTACGGACATGTCCGTCAAGCAGCTATGTAGCGTAGTCCGTTGACAGACCGCCAGTCCTCCAAGATCCTCATCATCAACGTGAGCCACGCCTCCGTGACGCGCCTCTCCAGTCCACCACTACCACTACCATCCACGTAAAGTCCAGAAATTTGGTGTCCGAACAAAGAACACCTGGATCGTCATGAAGGACGATAAACTAGTCTCTCTTGAGCTAAATGACGAAGCCGATGTCGTGAATAAAAAAAGACGACGCTCTCCATGTGGTATCATATCGAAGAAACCCGAATCGCAATAGAATGTAAATCCTGACAAAGAAAAGGTGAAAGAATGAAGAGTCGTTGATCATGTGTGGTTTGTTCCACTTTTGCGTATGGCATAAATCGGAAAAACAATCGTAGCTGCAGGGTGCTGTTGCAGGCGCGTCAGGCATGTATGTAGCCTCTGTTGTTGTGATGTGATTTACTCTTCCTCATCCGCGAGTGTCTGAAGAGTCATGGGATCCCGTAAGCGTCTCGTCTTGTGAATGGCGACGAGGTAGTCGACAAGGCCCTCAGCATCGGCCCGGAGAGCCTCCAGTTCTTCCTTGGTGCATCCGGCCGTGGGAGAGTCCTTGCTGGGGTAGCGGTAGGCGGCGAAGACGACTCCGCGGTCGTTTTGAGTAATGTCGTGAGAGCCCGAGTTGCGAGGGCTGGAGTTGGCTGATCCTCTGCGTCCGACGGAAGTGTGGAAAGCGTGGCCATAACCCCGGGCGAATTCGCCAACCTGCGCATCATCGCTGCGATATTCCATCCATCCCTCTTGCTTCAAAATCTTGGATTGCACCGTTGCTGAGATACGGAAAGGGCTGTTGAGATTCGAGAGCCCGTATGCTGCAAGCAGACGTCCGGTCATACCCGGTGCCGTTTCCACAGTCGGTCCATCCATCGGCGCCATGAGCGAGTTCCTCATGCTGGCGGGCCGCGAAGACAAGTCCAGCGAGGCACGGTACGGTGAAGCGGGAAAGTCGGATGCATGCTCGGGCCACAGGTTTACGATGTAGACCAGATCGAAGTTGTGCTTGGCGGCGATCTGAGCGACTTGCAGAGCACCCTCTTTGGCCACGTCGTCGGCGTAGATGGAAGAAGTCCGCCGCGAGGGACGAGGTGAGGACATCGAAGACGGCGTCGGCGGGGATGGAGGGGTTCTGAGAGGAGCAGGGATGATCGGCGTGTCCAGCTCATCCTCTAATTCGGGCTCCTCCAAGATGTCGTCGTCGGAGAGAGCGAAAAAGTCCCCAACGTCTCCGCCCTTGAGAATCTGGCTTGGTGATGTGACGGACCGGTGAGGTCTTGACTGGCCTTGAGGACGGCGCAGCAAAGCGGCCTTCTCTTCTCTCCTGCGGCGTGTTGCGGCGGCAGCGGCTTTCCTCTTGGCCAAACTGAGCTCCGCCGAATCCCTAGATCTCTTGTCGTGTACTGGCTTCATCTCGGGTGATGCGGCTGGTGTGGGCAGGTCGCTGCTCATGGAAGAAGAGGGTCGGCCATACTGGGAGCTCTTTATGCTTGAGTCGTCTTCGTTGTCGGAGGAGGGCGGGGTGCTGGCTCTCAGAGGTAGGATGACGGAGCTGTGGCGGTGCTCGAGGGAAGGTTTATGCGCTGCGGGTAAAGTTTTGGACGAAGCGCACGCGGGCGAAGCCGGCAAGCGGCCTGTGGGAGGAGCAGGAAAATCGAATCCACCCAAACTTGCCACCGGCTGACTGTCCCGACGTTGATTGAGCGACAAGGAGCGGACCGGGAGGGCGAGAGTGGTGGTGCTTCCGGTGCTCGAGTAAGAAGAGAGGTTGATAGAGAGGCGCTCGGACGCGTTCTCGGGGAGGCTATGAGCGCGCCTCTCATTCTGAGCAGCAACTATGCGCTCGTCTCTGGCCTTCATCCGAGAAACACGTGGGCGAATGAACGAGGGTGATGGGAAGCGTTGGTCCAGGTTGACAGTTTTGGGTCCTGAGAGATCTAAAGGTGCCGGCTTGGTGTCAATCGTGAGGTCCTTTCTCTTAGAAAAGAGCCTCTCGAGGCGATCGAAACTGTTAGGCATGGTGACTGAGGTCTCACTCCAGTTATTATTGGTGTCAGGTATCTGTGCGTATAAGTGTTGGTCAGTTTTTCTCATGCAAAGCGCAGAAGGAATTCAGCGGAACGGAATGCGCATACCAGTCGAGAGTATTATAAGTTAAGAGGAGAATGGTCGATAGGTAAAGGTGCGACGAAGGAAGAAGGGAGTAGGAAATATATTTTGTGTGAGGGAAAGTTTGTGGAAGTCCAGGTGAGAGGGAAGGAGCGAGGCAGAGGCCTCGGCCGAAGTGTTGGGATGCCGGCTGATGTGAGGTGACAGTGAGACAAGAAGTCAGCTACCACGACGGAAGGTAAGAAGACCCGGGTAGGATTGATTGCCGTCCGGGAAGGAGTCGAAGTAGAGTCGAAGATTTGGAGTGAGTCGAGTCTCACTGAATCGGTTGGAGGAATCCAGAAGGCCCAATGGTGACGCGAGGGCAAGAGGGTAATAAGGCGAGGTGCCGAGGACAAGGCAAGCTGACTTTTTAGTCTGCGCGACGTCGGTTGAGGGTGAGGGTGGTCGAGGATGATGAGCCGAAGGATGGGTGACACTAAGACCCTGATCGAGAAAGGCGCGGGGTGACTGGCCGATGGAGTTGGTTGTGCGATGAAGGTTGTATGACCTCTCGGCGAGACACTGGTCGAGGTGAGATGGATCGCAATATATATGAGAGGCTCCGTCTGTGTTCTGAGATGGGTAGGTGCGAGTCGACCGAAGGCTGGGTGGCTCGATGGGTTTTAAGAGAGATGGTGAATTGAGGAGGGGAGCAAGACACTAAAGCAAGGTGAAGGTGAAGCCGATGATGAAAAAAGAAAGGAAAAAAGTGGAAAGAAGCGCGTGCTGTGCTGTGTGCGTCGCCGTCGGGAGCAGACAGGATGAAGCCGATCTGTAAGGGCCGAAGGGTTAAGAATTAAGGTAAGGTATGATACCCCGGAGTCTTGTGATTAATTAGAGAATTAAGAATTGACCGAAGATCAGCAAAGAGCCGAAGGAGGAACACGGTCATGAAAGGGTCTGGAGAAGTGAAGGCTTTAAGATACTCGAGGCTTGAAACCAAGAGACAGCCAGTGCTGAAGAGGGGTGTGTGTGAAGGACGTCAACCTCGATTCCTCGAGTGGCCCACGGAGTGAGGAAAAAAAAAGACGGGAGAGAGAGAGACAGAGAGAGAGACAAGGGGGTGTGTGCTCAGATCCAGGTCGGGTCAGAGTTGGAGTTCTGGGTCCAGAGCCAGGCCCAGGTCCATGTCGAGCTGCCAGGTACTCCGTAGAGGCAGCGGACGGGAGCTGCACTTCTGAGATGTATGTGGCTTGCTGTCTTGGGCGTTTTCTGAGTCTTGGAGGTGTCTCTGATGTAAGGTGGTTTTGCTCTGAAGTTTTGGGTGTGGGCGTGGGAACGGGAGCGGAAGCAGTGTGAGCGGGAGTGGACTGGTGTGAAGGCGTACGATGGAAGTACACGCTACGATACGGCATTAGGAGTAGCGAGGTCGAGTTATTAGTGTCGTGCGTTAGGTTAAAGATGAGAAGGGAGGAGACTGCAGTTGGGCAAAGTCCAGTGTCGTAGAGAAGCTGGGGCAGGAGACTGGATTGGATCACGGACGAAGCTAAGGTGAGGTGCGGATACCTCACAAAGATACGTACCCGGGTCCCAGTGCCACATGCATGTCCGTTCCAGGAAAGGCGCCGACCGGGGGTTAGTCCGCGGACGGGAGAGGCGACACTGACACTGACTGGACACTGAGGTAGTGGGGGCGCCAAAATCCGTGATGGAGTCGGGTCGTCGACTTTCCATTTGCCAATGACTGCAAGTGGATGCAAAAGAGACAGGGGTGCTTGGAGACGCACTCAAGCTCTCATGGCTGGGCAGGGATCGTGAAGGGCTCACGGACGTTGTAACTGGCCATGTTTCTTGAGGGCAGTGGCACTGACGCGCTCCATCGTCAATTGCAAGGGAAGGAGCAAGTCCCGTCTCGAGTCTTCCTTCTAAAATTCTCGGGCACGGCAACCACAGAAGACGCTGCAGTGGTGACTGTGACTGGCAGGAGGCACTGCCAATTGACCCAACTTCAGGCATAGGCGAACCAAGATAAGGTGCCTGCTTCTGTCCCTAAATGGCAGCAAGCAGTATCAAAACGCAATGCCCCTCACCAAGTACGACTCTAGAGTTTCCCGTCTCGAGGAAATCAGGGAAAAATCACACGAAGGCATTGAACGTTGGTGAAGAGAGGATTCATGAGATGATTCATGTCTTTGCAGATAGACGTGAACCGCGAACAGGGGTCCTTCCGAGGTGAGGAAGGAACGAGCTTTGAATAAAGTGAGGCAGGAGATACGCAGGAGTCAGGAAGGAGCCGATGCCAGAAGCAGGAGCAAAAGGCAGGAGGCAGGAGGCAGGAGGCAGGAGGCAGACGAGCACGAGGCACGAACCAGGAGGTCTGGTAAGGCAAGGTAGGTACGAAGTACATTGCATTTTACTCTGTACCTTACAGCAAAAAGTGGGAAGGTGCAGCAGCAGCAGAGCAACAGCAACAGCAACGGCAACGGCAGCTGCAAGGCAAGTGACGACCCAGCTCTGACCAGCTCCTGCCCCCAATCACGTCGCTCATTTTTTCTCTCATTTTCGGGCGCTTCTGTCATTTCGCCCAGACCACCCGGCTCCTTTCCCGCAGCGCCTCGCATGCATGCCATATGCCTCGCTGACCATCTTATCACAAAATGTTTCGTTTCGTTTCTTTTTCATCGTCCGCACAACTCGAAATGATTTAGAAGGTTTTTTTTTTCTTTCATCCCTCTCGCTTCGTTTTTTCTCCCCAGCAGGATCCTGCTCCGTCCGTCCCCTCTCTTTGCGGGACGCCGGACTGGGCCTCGGAGGTCAAAGCAAAGAAAAATCACGGAAAATGCTACCGAAGCCTCCATATCCAAGAACCCGATCCAATCTGGATGCAATGTTGGAAACAGCGCCGCTTCCCTCGGGCCTCGAGCCTCGACTAATTGACGTGAGCCCAAACTCCAATCCGTCCATCGTCAATCTGGCCAATCCGAGCCGAGACGCCTGGCCTTGCGGTTGCTTCTTCGCCTTGCTCAATTTTTGTGCAACACCCGTGTACCTTGTCAACCGGCACTGTCAGTGGAGGATGACACCCACCCGCCGCTCCTGACATCAACCACCATCGTCAAATTTTCCGCTGTCTTGCAAGCAGACCCCGGGTTCGACCGCCAAAGACTTGCCGTCGCCGGGGCCACGGAATAAACAACCGGAATAAAGTCAACGAAGAGCTTCCCGACAGCACTATGCGAGAACGTATCCGGCAGCTTCTCCATTCGGTCTCCCGACACGCCATGTACGACATATTTTCTGGTTCTCGCTGATGAGCAAGAGCTGTCGAGTCGGCCAAACCCCCGGAATCAGGAATGGTTCGGGCACTCACTGCACGAGTTGGACAAAATGACTGGATGATCGACCTTCGACCCCGGTTCCTGATCAGTGAAGCCGAAGCTTTGACATAACGGCTTCTCTTATTGACAGCACCACCCAAAGCACCAAAGCACCTCTCGCTTGCATGCAACCGGGCTCGAGCGTCGTCTTCAACGCTGGTGCCACGATGCAATGGTCCTTACATCCCGTCGTGCCGATTGACACGACTCGCCTCATCGTCAGGGCGCAGGGGAACAAGCTGTGAATGCTGCAAATGCCCAACACCATAGCCCAGGGTAAAACCACTCTCGGTGCGCCTTTTACATCAAGTTGGTTGCTCTCCAGGGCCAAGACTGCCAGATACCTTGCCCTCCAAGGCATTGATCGCCGCCACTAATGCGAACATACAATCTTGTCAACAACATCAGACGAGTTTTTCTCCCGGGGGGGTTCATCGCAGCCATTGCAGCCACCATCTCGTGGCGCTGTTTCCAGCACGGAACCTCAACTCAATTTCGTCCTCACATGCCGCCGACGGGCCCAATCTACCGGTCGGCCCTGCCCCGATTCACGATTTACCTACTGGACAGCTTAACCTAAACGCACCAACTCGAGTTGATACAGTCACACGCGACACATCCGGCCATCATCCACTTTCGTCCCTTTGCCGACGCTGCATCGTAATCCTGCGGTAACCGAGCGAGCGTCGAGGCCTTCTTTTTGTCTCCAATTGCAATATTCTGTCAGCAAAAGCCCACCAGGTTGCTACGTTGCCTAGCTTCGGAGCACCTCATTTCTGCCCGTACGTAATTACACGCTGGGCCCTGGAAAACTCCGACTGGTCCTGACAAATTGGACCCTTGACCAGAAAGTCTCCATATCAATCTTCGCCGTGCGAGAGGCTCCGCTTTACCAAAACGGCCACTGCTGCTGCCGAACGCAGTCACGAACCTTCGTTTGAGTCGTCTACCTGGTCCAGCCACCAATGGCTTGGTTCTTGTGACGAGATGACACTACCGTACGGCCGCGAAACGTCCCCCGATGCAGGGTCCAGACTTCAGATTTTAGACCTTCATCGGTTTCGACCAACGCCGTCTGCTCGGGAGCCTAGAGCCCATGTCGATCCCTGCGCGGTCTGGTCCCTTGTGCCGCCCGACGTCAACTCAGACGACCAGCGGCTCTTGCCACACCCGGAGCGTCTCTTCTCTCAACGTTCGCTCGTGCGGCCCAAAGTCACCCCAGCTCGAAGGGAGAGCTGCGTCAAAACTCATCACGAACGGCGAAGCCATCTCCATGTTGCTGCGCGATAAGGGTGTGCCCATGAAGGACACCACAATGCGAGGGACTAGCCAGCTTGACCGGCTTCTTACGCAAGGGGGTCGCTGATGCTGATATCAGAGCCTCAAAATGACCATACACAGAGCTCGAACAGCCATTTGCGGGATACTGCAAGACCCAGAGACACTTACACGGTTACTGTCACTTGCGCTGCAAGGGATATGACAGCACACTAGAAGCACAGGTCGAGCCAGGATTTCCTCTCGTCATAGCCGTTGCATTTGCCTCCCGTTCGCTGGATGCCTCATTCACGCTGCAATACTTTGGCATGGTTGCATCACGCCTCTTATTTCGACAAGATCTTGGAGTCCGCTTAGATGTGTTCGGCTTGTTTGTGGCAATTTCAAATGAATCTCCGCCCTCGCGACCCCGTTGAAGAGTCTAATCAGTGCGGCTCGGGATCACGTCAGTTTCACAGAACCTAGTCACATCGCCGTCCATGATAGGCAGACTTTCTCCCATCTGACGCCAAATCGTAACCTAAAGCCTCGTAGCTCAACGGGTACCTCTAGTCAAATCCCCATGGCGATGTGGCTGTTTTCAGGGTCCTTGCACGGCCCAGAGACGGAAACATCAAAGCTGACGACTGAGACGGCAGCTCCGGACGCTGCGATCACTGCTTCCGAATGCATGCAAGTCGAGGTCCGCCACATTCGAATCGAGGGGACTAAGAGAGCCGACCAATCCGATCCAGGCTTTTTCATCGGGGTGGCTGTCTGATTGGGCCGGCCTGCTCTCGCAGTGTTCGCATAGATGCCGCACGCTTCGAGCCTCTCAACATCATCAACTGAGAGTACACCTCGGTCCGAATTGCTTTTTCTTCCGAATGAAGCAGCCGACCAGCAGAAATACTTTCCAACCACTGACTTTGCCGACACCTACGTTCATGGTGCCCGCAGGCTTCTCGCCCCCTCTCCCTGCGCTTAGATACCTGCCGTCCTGTTCGAGACAGCCAAGTAAAGGGAGGTCGGGCTCATCCACCGATTGCAGTGGATCTTCTCCGGAGCCGAGTGCTTGTGCGGCCCCTGATGGCCGGAGACTGGCCAGCAACTCAAGTTATTGGATCCCGGTGACATCGTTGCTCTTCCGTCCGACCTCCCTCCAGCTGAGATGCAGACGCTGGTCCAATGATAAAGCCTCGATTCAGCCACCCGATGGCGCCAGTATTACCCAATTGGCAGTCGCAAAGTCTACGATGAAACCTGAGGCCTGGCGCGCGAAGGAGAGAAACTGGCTGTGGCGGGAGCTCTCGCGGCCTCATCGTTGTGCATCCGGTGGTTTCTGTGTCTCTACCAGCGCAGCTAAAATCGAGACCTGCATGACGAGGAAGGCGCAGGCAAAGAAAAAGCAATACACCAACCACACTGCACTGTACATTCTAAGGACAGGTTTTGCGACTTCCCACGGATCTCAACTGTCTACCTACAGAAGCGTGTCTCCGCTCACAATCAAAGTAGCCGAGAATGATTGCTGTTTTCACAAGCAAATCACCGTCGACGAAGTCTTTCCGATGCTTCATGGTCTCACGTGGTTATGCGAATGCGTATGGAGCCAAGGCCTATTTACAACTTCGAAGTCAGGTCTGCCTAAGCTGCCGCCAAATGCATCCGTAAGTGGTCTATCGGGTGAGCTGAAACATGACCTTGGCCTTCCTAGAGAAAAAGCAGTTCGATGACCCGCTAGAACCGTTGAGGGAATATCATGATTCAACATGGTCCCTGGAAAAAGGAAGCTTTGGCAGAACATGAGTCTGGACTTGCACCTCGCCTTCTTCCTAGAGGGTTTGCGTCATTTGCATTTTCTTCTTCTTTCGCGAGTTCGAACTGCGACTATCAGCTCCTGAACCTGAATACCAATTGTCGTGCGTATCATAGTTGAAAGGATCGACTCGGCTGTCGCTCACCCCGGATTTTCGCGACCTCGAGGCTTGTTTCGTTGCCGTCTTTTCTCTCAAGTCGATCCGACTTTGTTACCCAAGATGCACGGGTCCTTACGGGCGGCCGTAAGTACAATGTTGCACTGGGTTCACGTCCCACGACAACTCCTCAGCCAATTTCAGGTGCTATTTCCATCCGATCTTCTAACCGTCGTCGATGTTACTCTGGTCCTTATTTGATTACAGATGCAGCTTCCCGAGCTGCATCATTGGTTGGCTCATCCAGCCGCAGACGGTTTTGAGCTAAGAAGCCACACACCCTCACCAGCCAGACCCAAGCCATCGCCGTTTTCAGCACATAGAGATTTACTCAGCAGGTACCCTGAGCGGCAAACTGATACCCCCGTGGGTTGCATCGTGATGCTGAGCGACCATCGTCAACCCCGAGGGCCACGCGGAGGCCTTGCACATTTGCGGCCGTTGATCTTCCATCAGCAAGACCGCAAGGAGAGACATCAAAACGTATGTGTTTCCTCTTGGCCTATGCGAGAGCCTATCATCAAAAGCAAGGAAACTGCACATCACTTTGTGAGGACGAATCATCGACAGCGAATCAATGATTATGACGGTGTTGGTGCTGTCAAGAGAAGCCGACGATGCAAGGGGCACGATACGAAGCATCCGACGTGGGATCACAGAGACGTACTGACGGACCGGCCCAGGCGAAGCACTCCCTCCTCAAGATGACACCGGGTACTCACAGCGCAGTAGCCGGAAGCGAATGGCGGCGCCAAATGGCGGACTACACCCCACATGGATGCAGCCAGCATACTGACAAATTGCTTCTTTCCATCGCAGTAGTGCCTGTCGCTTGTACGGCCGAATGCTGGCCGCTACTTCTGTACTGCGGCTTTCGGATCAGCTTCTTCCATGGACTCGGGCAGGTCGGGGTGGCCTTCGCCGCAAAGATCGGAGTTTGGAAAACTACTAGGCTTCACAGTACGTCGGCCGTACTGCCAAAGCCACATCTATCCAGATCTCTGCAAATCGAAGCCACGTTGTGGCCTTGTGGCTTTTCAAGCTCATTACGGTCCAGGACATTCGATAACCAACACCTTGCTGAGCTAAGACATTGCGATCTTGGACCTTCAGTTACTCAGAATCGGGGGAGCTCATTATCGAAGATGCAGGGAGGCCGTTATCCATGCCTCCTCGTGGGGTCGTATTCGCGCACATGGCATATGAGGAAGCTCGAGAAGCCTCGACAACCGAGATGTCTTTATCTCCACGCGACCACTACGCAAAGACTATTGATTCCTGTGCGCGGGAGACCCTGCAAGGCAAGACAAGCCAACCGGAGCGCAGTTCAACAGGCTTTCCGTGGAACAAAATCAGAGACAATCATCTTCTAGGTTGCAAAGACATCAATGTGGAAATGAGACGAGGTAGCCCGTTGAGGAGCCAATGCAAGGGATTTAACCTGCGACCAGCTGTGCCGCTTCGTTATACGGCGGCTTAAGGCCACGTTGGGAACGGTTGGGTCTCAGACAAATGACCTTCGACCAGTTCCAAGGGTAATTATTCCTACACTCTCAGTTAACGAAGCTGAAAGAGTCTTCAGAACAGTATTCGGCAGCTGACATAGGCTCACCGGCTGCTCAATTGTCTCCTTACTGGCGTCAAAGTGCCGCAAGAGATCGCAGCGCCGCCCCAATCTCCCAGTCACAGGCGTTATATCACCAAGGGTCTGGCCATCTGCGTACTTGCTGTAGCCGGTAGTGAATGGCATCATCGGCGGGCAGCCTCCCAATGCCGATGGACTACTAGGACCACATAGCAGTTTGCGTTCTTCGGAGACGGAAACCAAGTTCAGTTCATGGTAAAATGCTGGCAGAGTACCGTCTTAACTGGAAACATTCACCAACAGTAATCAGCGTTGGTGCATGAGTTGAGAGGCTATACCAAGCCATCAGGAGTCTCATACTGTCGTGTTTGCGAAAGAGATTGAGGGGAGTTCCCTCCAAGCCTAATCAACCAACTTTCAGGGGGAGTGTCGCAGCTTTCTCAGCTGAACCGCCATGCAGTCTGCCTTCCGCGAAGAATGAGCCAAGTGGCCCTTCTTACTGGAATGCGCCGCCGTCTCTTGCTGAAACAGGCGATGCAGGCCCATCAACGGTCCGAAATGGTCAAGCTGAAGTCGCGAGATCATGACACCGGCCGCGCATGGGTGCGTAGCCGCCCGATGGAACCCCGGCCGGGTGGATAGGTTGAGGCCCACTTCGCCGGCCGTCTCCTGTTTGAAGTTAACGCCGCGCGCCGCACCCGCCCGCTGGCGTCGAACAGCCCTCAGCCGTTGCAGCATTCTTGTCGGTGCTTCTGCGGCCGACCGCGCCGAGAAACACTCTCACCGCTGGAATGAAGTCCAATTTCAGCTTGGAGCATCGGCATTCGCGGCGCGCAATTGGGTTTGATTGCCAGCCCGCTCTGGTCGCATGACAATGCAACGGGGGCGCGCTTCGGCCATGCCGCCGGACACATTGCGGAGCGACGAGTCGTGGAATATGTGGGGAGTTCTTCGATCCCTAGGCCGATGATCCCCCAACGACGGATCCGATCACGCAACGTTTGGGAGTCTGTCGGATATCTCGGGATGGATACCCTTGGGTCGCAGCACGCCGTTCTCTGGGTTTTCCCACTAAACATGCGGTCTGGAAGCGTATGCGGCGGCACTTGCAACTGCCAAATCTGGGAATAATCTGAGAATAAGCATTCGTCCCAACGTTGTGGGGAGCCCGCTCTGCAGGGCGAACCCGCGACGTCATGACAGGAGATCCCTTCGTCGGCGCAAATTGGGACGAATGCGCGAGCCAAGTCGTTGCGGGAAAGCCACGGAATGCCGGCCACCGGAATGGGGCGTCGCTCAATTTCAACCACCGATGCCCCGGGCGCTGATAAGCTGACGGGGGGTTCGTCTCACTCAGCTCAGCCCTCAGCCTGTCGAATACATTTTAACCGTATTTCAGCCCAGCCCGACTCTTTTTCTCCTCTTCTTATCTCTGTGTAACTCAAAGAACACAAAACGAACTCTTCGCCAGCATGACGACCGTGAAACACCAGCCCTTGTTATCGGGGGAGGTGAGCGACGAGATGGATTGCCATCCGTTCAAGACACTCCCGCTCGAGCTGCGACTTCTCATTTGGGAGACTTTCGGTTCCGAACCACGAACGTTCGAATACAAAGAAGACACGGGCCTCATCAGACCGTCCCGCGAATACCGCCACCCACGCCGCGTCGGACTAGCCGTCTGCGCGGAGTCGCGGAAAGCAATTCAAGCTCTCCTGAAGCCCTTCGAGCACCCCCACGACCTGGACAAGCGCAGCGTCCTCCCAGCACCGCTCCAACACATCCCGGCGGAAGACCTCTTCTACCTCCCGCCGCTGGTGTACCGCAGCCGCATCCAGGCCTGGGACTCCCTCTGGACGACGAAGCCGGGCGTCAGAAACGTCGGAGTCCACTGGTCCGTCCTCTGCGACGAGCGGCGCATCGCGGAGGCTCTGAAGGCTCTGAGGAGGTGCTTTGTGCACATGCAGAGGCTGGTGGTGTTTGTTGAGTTCAAGGCGCTGCCGGAGCCCGAGGAGGACGCGTGTGCTGGCGGGATCGTGCGGGTGATGGGACCCGTGGAGGATGAGTACAAGCTGCCGTCACTGTTTTCGGAGGCCCATGGGTTGACGGATGAGTTTTGGACCTGGGGAGAGATGAGGTTGGCGATTGAGCGCGTTAGGAGGGGGATCGTTGGCGCGGCGGACGTCGAGGGGGTGCTTTATTGCAGAGAGGTCGAGGACGGACCGGATTTTTGAAGGTGAGAGGATCTGCTCGCGAAGACTTTTCTGGTTTTGGGGATCTGAGAAGGAGGGCTGGGCGACGGATTAGATGGAGACGGACGACGAGGTAATCGATGGCAAAGGGGAAACTGGCTGTAATGATTCATGATACCACGAAGCGCATATATAATAGTATTATCATTATAAGTCCTGCTCTCCGTTGAGGGCATCTTGGATGTTCTCGGACGAAAGTCGCCGTCATGACTTAGTACCGGTCGTATAAAACAGTTAAAATCACGTCCGAATCATCCACCGACCCTGATTCGCCGTGTCCCCAACCATGACGTTGCCCTGCTTGGCTGTCCATCAACAAAAGCACCTATACAATATACAACTCTTGCAGGATAGAGCTTGAGTATCTCGGTGCCCCCAACTTTGTACGGATCCTCCTCCATGTGTTGCTTGATCTGCCTGGGTGAGCAGCGTGTCGAGGACATGTTGCCGCTGGAAGACCGACCGACTTCTCGGAAAACCCAATCTCGGGAAGTGCTCTTGGGCAAAAGCAAGACGTAGAACGTTCCAACCCACAACTCCAGGAGTCTTTCATCTGTACATGCTAAAGACCCATGTAGAGTCCACCTCCTTCCGCGAGGAAGAGGGGGCGCTCCAGCCAGCATGCGATGCGTCCGGGTAACATCTTGGACCAAAAGCTCGGTTGAAGCTTTCAATTTCCATCCATCTTGTCCGTATTAAAACATACTATCAAATTCGTCAGTATTCTCCCATGAAGTCTTCTATCAACCCTTAACTCACCCACACTACTTCCCTTTTCCCTCCGTCCGACGTGCGACTATCCCTGGTCAACCGACCCTGCGATGACACCGGTGCTGCTGTTCGAGCTCCGCTCTTTCTTCAGGGATATGACCCATTCGATTTCGAAGTTGTTCGCGTACCCCATCAACGGCCGCTCCGCCTGCGTGCTGGGTTGCGGGCTGCTGAGGGTTTCTCGGGGCGATTTGGGGACGCTTTGGGCTGGGCTGTTTGATGTGGTTGTGAGTTGTTTGAGTGTTGTTGTAGACGGGGATTGAGACATTAGGGATCTATCTTCTCGTTCGCGGGATGAAGAGGCTGCAATAGCATGGAGTTGACTTTTCGGAGAGCATCTCGAGGAGCTTCGGGGCATGTAATCCTCCTTTATTATTTAGAGCTACCTGGCGTTCGATGTGTTCCACAACATGACATTTCTCGCTATCTTCGAAGGGTCGAAGAATGAATACCAGCATATACCCAAACCGGCAAACCCCAAGGCCAAACTCCAGAAGCCGCCGCCGGTCAGGCACAAACCGGCGGCGATCGGTGTGCGCGGTCCGACGTAAGGCTGATGGAGACGGGCCGCCGCAGCACGACACACGCTGAGTCCTCACCCCTCATTCCGAGATGAAAGAAGTTGTAGCAGGACACACCGCATGTGATGACACGTCCACTCGGCCGACATATGGAGGCGCGAGATATGGATGAACGCCCGCCAGTTCAAGACTCATCGCATAACGATTACCACGTGTAAATCTTATATTTCTAGCGCTTATCCAAGAATATGGTCATCGAGCCGGGCGATGGCGCACAGATGATGTTTGTCGTGCCCTCTCAACGGCATGTCCGCCCGGCCCGGCCCCATTTTCCCCGCAAGATCGGCGTCCATCCGGGGAAGCGCCGAGTGGGGCGCCTCGGTAGGCGTTCTTGCTTTCGTCCCGAACGACGAGTGTGTATAGGAATTCCAATGAGGCTCCTCGGCGCGGCCGAGTTGGGCCAGCCTTACAGGGCTTGAAAAGGCGGGGGATTGAACTGGTTGTACGAGCCGTCGTGCTACGCTGCGCGTCATCGATGCCGTGGATTGATTGCGGCATGCTCACGAGGATGGGTCTTTTTGGGGGTTGAGACTCGTATAGAGGGGGGGATGGTGTCTCCTGTTGGACGGGAAAACGCATTGGATGTCATGTTTCACGGCATTTTGTGGTTCAATTGAGGCTCAAGTGGCGGAGATGGTATTGTGAGATCGAGAGAGATATTGAGTCTATGATGGGCGGGTGCAGACGGAGCAAGATGATCGCGATGCCGTGGAATCGTCCCCCATGGCTAACCCGTACGCCGCAAGCGCGGCTCACCTAGACCCGATGACTCTCCCCCCCCCCCCTCCTACCAAAGCTCACACGTGGGTTTCTGAATCGGACAGTTGAACGCCCTCCTGAACTCCCTCGAATTATCCAGCGGGCCCTTGATGCGTGCGAAGCCGGGCGAGTGGACGTCGCTGCCGAGCAGGAAGACGTCGTACGCCTTGGACGCCGAGACGTCGCACCACGACTGCGCCCACTTGACGAAGAAGAGCTGGTCGTGCGAGAAGCGCTCGAGGCCCGGCAGGTCGAAGTCCTGGACCTTGCCGTCGGCCTGGGCGCGCTTCCACGCGGCGTACGAGGTGGCCACGCCGCCCGCGTCGGCGATGTTCTCGCCGAGCGTGAAGTTGCCCCGGACCGGCACCATGGTGCCGTTGGGGGCGAGGAGGGTGAAGTTCTGGTACTGGTCGACGAAGCACTTCGTGCGCTCGTCGAAGGCCTTGATGCTGCTGTTGTCCCACCAGTTGGTGAGGGACCCGTTGGGGGCGTAGTTGTGGCCCGAGTTGTCGAAGCCGTGGGTGAGCTCGTGGCCGAGGACGGAGCCGAGGGCGCCGTAGTTGAGGTAGGAGGGATAGCCGACGGCGTAGAGCGGCTTCTGCTGGATGCCGGCGAGGATGACGATGTCGTTGTACGTGGGGAAGTAGTACGCGTTGACCTGGGACGGGGTGCTGAGCCAGAGGGCCTTGTCGGCGGGCTTGCTGAGGTAGGCCCAGGTGCGGTTCGTGGAGAGGGCGGCGAGCGAGAGGGTGTTTTCGAAGAAATCGCTGTTGATGGTGGCGCCCTTGTAGTGGTCCGAGAGACTCTTCGGGTTGATCGTCTCTGGCGAGGAGTCGGGGTAGCCGATCTTCTTGGAGATGGCGTTGACCTTTTCCTCGGCGACCTTCTTGACGGCTGCGGAGAGCCAGACTTTGTCGCCGAGGCGCGCGATGAAGGTGTTTTGGATGGAGCCCATGAGGCTTGTTGTTAGCTCGCGGGCTTCTCTAGAGTAAGCCTTGTCGAGGAAGAAGCGGCTGAGGATCCAGCCGAGGCCGGCGGGGAAATTGGTCCACGTCGGACCGGCGTCGACGTGGCTTACGCACCGCTCCCAGCGGGGCTGCTTCCCGATTGCGACGGGATCCAAGCCGCGAAGGGTCGATCTCATATCATTTAGACGTGTCGTCACGTCGGCCTCGACGTAAGACGAGAGCGTGGTGGTCGCTTTCCATACGAAGAAGGTCTGAACTGTTTCTGCAGAGGTGTTGGCGAGGAGCTGGGAGAGGTTGCCGAAGTAAGCAGGCGAGAAGACGAGCTGTTCTGGGGTGTAGTCCGGGGGTGCCAGGGCCTTGATGAGGGAGCCGTGATCCAGTTCTGGAGCGACTTTGGTGACGTCCTCTAGCTTGAACTTTCTTGCTGGTTTCTGGACGAGTGTTAGTGCTGCGACTTTGAAAACGTGCTCGGTTGGTGATCCCAACTTACGTCCTCAGACGGGCGGCTGTCGTCTGTTTGTCTTAGCTTCTGAAGGTCTTTCTCGAACTTTGTCACCGCCAACGCAAGTCTCTGCGAGTCGGCCATGGAAAGATTTGCTGGATGAACTGCCTGGAGGACTGACGACATGACGCGCTGGTACTGCGCAACGGTGTCGTTATCTTCTCTGCCGGTAAGAATAGGGGTTCCACCGGGAAGAATTGAGATGATGGTTTTATTCTGAAATTTTGTTAGCTCAGTATCATCTGCTCGGTTTGAAAGCATCTCACGGTGTCTTGGTCGTCCCAGTCCACACCAACCGATTCGAATGTGTTGATGCCGTACTGGGTGAAGAGCATCAACGTCTTGCCCATCTCCGGAGTGTCATCCTTGCTGATCATCCGCTGAGGGTCTTTTCCCCCGTTCGTCACCGGGAAGGCTTGGGCGATCCGGTCAATGAAACTCATCAGGGGCTTCAGCCCCGCGGCTTCGACAGCGGTACTGTTGACGCAGGCATTGTACGAATCCACAATCAACTTGAAGTTATCCCGATCCGTGGGAATCTGATCCTGAGGTAGGGAAGCCGTGATGTACCCGGCGTTGGCTCCCGATTGGTAGGACCCTTCGAGGATGTTCTTCAGAACCACCGACACCTCCTTGCTGACATCCCCCAACGATGAAGCCTTCCCTTGGCCGGCCGCCGGAGCATGACTACCCTTGTATCCGGCGCATGCCACTGCCAAGAAAGTGTGTTAGCAAGCCGAGAGTCATGTCGTTTCGCCGACGAGCTCATTGGGGGTCGAAGACGAGGGAAACGGTAGCAGGGATTTGGAAGCATGGGGCGCGGGGTAGCTGCGGCTGCACATAATGCGGGCGGGGGAGAAAACAAACGCAAACTTGAGTCGAAGACGTACGTTTGTCAAAGTCTGTGCATGGATCGATGTCGGTGTAGTTGGGAGCGAGGTTCGACAGAATGTCCGAGGCGATCTCAAGACAAACTGGAGTAGTGCAGAAGCTGCCACTGCCACTGGCGTTCACGGCGGTCGGTGCCATCTTGGGCTTCGAGCTCTCTTGTTGGAAAACCTGCCGGCCGTGAGTAGGTGTAGATAGAAAAATGAAAAGTAAACGGACAATTCAGAGAACCCGGGACTTACGCGGCTGGCCCTAAAGGTAGTGGGAGGGAAAACTTCTCTTGCCTCTCAGGGTTCGAGGCCCAGAAATACCTCACTCTTCGACAGACGCGGACGGCAGGTGACGATGGTGAAAGACCGTTCATCCAGTGTCAGCGCGACTAGGAGTTGGCATGGTCTTTATATCGACGAGGACCATGGGCGAGAAATGCAGAAGCGCCGGTTATTTCAGCACACCGGGCACTTCTCCATCATTCCGATACCTTACCCAACTCAGGGCTGCCTCCCAAGACCAGGTTTCGTGAACCTAGACCAATCCAGATTGACCCGTCAATCAGAACTCTGTACGATGACGAAGTAGACTCGGGCGAAGTCTAAGAGTGCATGCGACGAGGTCAGCGTTGTGGGGAAGCTGGGAAACAAAAGTCCCGTCCGCCAAGTGCTGTTGTTGACCCAAGTTCCGGATCTCCCGCCGCATATTCGCTTGATTGGCGGGCCCAGCGGGATACTGCTGATCATGCTTCCCTTCCTTCTTAAGCAGGTACAAGGTAGAATGGTGTTGTGGTCAGGCTTCTTGTGATGGTGACGGGAGGCCGTGGTTTGATTTGCCAAGCCGCCCCATTCCAACGGGTGCATGGTTGAGGTTAACCTTGTGTTGGTGGCAGGGGACCAGGTCTGATCTCAAAAACAGTGAAAAAAGCATGTTTGTTGTTGTGTTTGAAGTAGGTAATTTGGCCGACTCGCAACGCTTCCAGCAAAGTAAAGACGCTTATTCTCGCGTGCCAATCGTTGAGGCGACTCGCGGGGTCGTAAGCATGGTGTTGGTGCCGATGAACTTATGTTGTAATAATGAGTTGTAATAAGCATAATTTTGAATTGGTCGACACAATTTGATCGCCGGCTGGGATGTTTTCTTCGGCTACCCGCATACAACTGTCCAATGCGAATGCGAAGAAGTGGCTGGGGTAGGACGATGGTAAGCTTCGGCTTCTTGGTAATGGTAGTGAGGTGGTACGGACGGAAGCCATCGGTCGGAGAGCTGCTGCATGTATCCGTATTCTCGTCCACCATCCAAACTGGGTAATTTTACGTTCGAAAAGCCCCCTCTTGTCTTTAGAACACCGTCTTAGAACACCGCCATGCTTTGCGACAGCTGGAGAGCGAATGTGCCTTGCGGAGTTCCTGAACCTTGGAATGAGTCGCCTGGCCACCTCATTGAGTATTCCAATGACAAAATGATCTTCTAGAAGAGGCCGTGCTGAGCCCCCTTTCATGAACTTACCCAGATGACTCGGGCTAATGAGTTAGACTGCCATACCTCACAAGTCTAAATGAGCACAGACAAAGCCTCAGGGGCAATCCAACGGTCGTATTGAACTTGCTCGTATGTCAGTATCACAGTAAGTGTCTTGAATCCCTGCGGTTGCTGATCTCACTGGCTTTCGTTTCCAGTTAACTCGAATGCAAGAAAATGGCGCCGAATATTGCTTCATGCTGACAGCTTGGCTCGCAGTCCTTCGTCATTGGGAGCCGTGCCGTCTCATATCCAGACCTATGTCTTTGTACATGCGGCTTTTCATATTCCGCAACGCCGAGAAACCGAGAACACCAGATGGAAGTATGCGATAGATGGGCGAAAGGACTTTGTGTGCGGCAAGTTGCCCGACCACCTAAGACCTAGGGAAAAAGCAAGTTGCCATAATAGCCGAAGCTTCGGCAATGGATCGTCTGTTGCTGCCTGACTTTGAACACCATCATTGAGTCTTCAGGCTGAAGATTCCAGAAGATCAGGCGATCGAGAGATGGACCGCACGCGCATCTCATCTATTGAAGATGTTGCAAGGCGTGGAATAAACCTGCGAAGTGAGACGAGGTGTTCAGCTGAGGAGTTAGACGTGGAACGGACTGCGGGAGGTGGGGACGCAACAAGCTGATGACAGTTGGTCCGTGCAGGCTGACAAAGCTCCCGAGGTCAAGCACGGACCAGGCGTCAGGCTCACAGGTGCCCCGCTGGAAGGTGGATACATGGACCGGGCCCCGCACTCCGATCAAGCCACGTTTCCCAAGTTTCATGCGCCACATGACGTTGACGTCAGTCACGGCAGGTCCCTTGGGAGGCGACTGGCGCAAGCAATACATAGTACTTGATCACCTGGTCGGCTACAGCCTAACTTTGCAGTCTTTCTACCTGTTTACCACCTTTCAGCCATCTAGACTTGAACCTAAGGAATTTCTTTCCGTACTGTTACTCAAGATGGCGAATGCCGGCACTCCTCCCAACTACTGTAAGTGTTCCAGATAACCCCACCATAGCTCCAGGCCAGACCTAACACGGCGCCGCAGATGCGATCCTAGAGATCACCGAGGCGGCCACGACCCAGCAAGTTCGAGATGCGTACAAGAAGTAAGCTCAAGAGACGACATCAACCTCAAAACCGCACTAACATCTAATAGGGCCGCCCTAAAGACGCATCCCGACAGAGTCCCCGCCGGTTCACCAGAGCGAGCATCGCGAACTCGCAAGTTCCAGCTCGTCAACGATGCATACTACACCCTATCCGACACCACAAGAAGACGCGAATACGATGCCCAGCGCAAGATGTTCGGCGCCTCATCCGCCTACGCAGCCAACGACCCCTTCGATGACCCCGAGGAAGAGGTTCCACCGCAAGCCGGACCAAACCCCACAAACGCCTACTCATGGGCCTGGAACTTCTTCACGGGTGGCGGCCAGGCAAACAACGAACAGCAACGCGAGAGGGCAAACAACCAGCAGTTCGGCGATGTGTTCGAGGAGATGCTGCGTGAGGAAGGCATGGCCGAGGAGGGTACCAACCGCCCGACAAGTTCCTTCTGGGGTACCATCGGTGGCGTGAGCGGCGCGGCCCTTGGGTTCATCGTCGGAAACATGCCTGGCGCGTTCGCTGGTGGTGTTGCCGGAAACCGCCTCGGCGCGGTTCGAGATGCGAAGGGAAAGAGCGTCTACGCGGTGTTCCAGGTTAGTGCGAATCTGGAGATATCTACCGGGTAGATCCAGTTAGACTCTCTCTTGTTCGATTATCCTCGAGAGCTTGACTAACAGTATACAGGATCTGCCACAGGGAGACCGTGCGAGGCTGCTCACGCAGTTGGCTGCGAAGGTTTTCAGCCACACTGTTGGAGTTTAGTCTACTTGTAAGACTACTTGGGTTGGGTTTTGGGTCACATTACTTGGTCAGCTTGGAGTTTGGGACGGATTCGAAAGGTTAGGCGCCTCAACATCGATAGGCCACCGAGGCATCGTTATAGTGATATCAATAGATAGTTGCTTTCCAGCACAAAAAAGTCCCGCAACTGGTGATGATTAGCGACTGTACGACATACGAACTGCTTCACAACATGCGTCCGGGCCATGGCAACATTTCAGATCCTCGACAAACTCGGTACGACACACATCTTGATACAAAGACTTCACCAAACTACCACTCCCTTTTGCACGACAGCAAAGCGCATCCGTGCGGCCTGATGGACCTACTTAAACAACCTGAAGAGAGCGTTCTCTTCCGGCAGCAACAACGCTACCACCCAGATAGATCACCATGTTCGCAGTAGTCAGCCCCTCTTCAGCTTTGCTTCTTACTGTCCTCGCTACCGGAGCCCTGGCCAACTTCCTCGAAGAATGCGACTTTCTCAGCTTCAGCCGCGGTGCCAACAGCAAAGACCCCTTCTTGCATTACTCATGCCCCATCAATGCGCCGCCGTACGTTTGGTGCTCGAAGTTGATGCTAAGTGACTGCATCGTCAACGACAAGGGCGTCCTCCGCGGACGTGAGAGGTTAGAACCAGCCTTCCACTAACATCCGATACTTGCTGATTGGAAGGTTACTACAGGGGCAACTTCGGACCTACTTGTGATAAGTGTCAATACAATGAAAAGACTGGCAAGCTGTCGTGCTGGTGCGGTGATGGGGAAGGCAGAATTCATTGGAACTCGGTCAACCTCAGTAAGTCTGCATACCTTTCATGAGAGAACATGTCTGACATCTTCCGAAGAGGATTTCGTCTGGCTTTCAGGCTCAAAGATTGGATGTTACGGGATGAAGTCTGGGAGTACTTGTAGTAGCTGAGGCTGATTCCTGACTGATGTTGAAAACACAAGTCCAAGAAGTTGCCTGTTTCGACTTCGAACTGTGGATATCGCCAAGCCATTTATTACTACCGTCGTACTCGGTTGATGAGGCCCTCGACGATGTTGCAATAGGCTGCACCTGCACCCAATATCAGTGCCATCCATAAAAGTGTTCTTCGTAATTGGAATCATATTGAAATCATGAGAGACTGACATCTCCAACTTATCAATGTGATCATGCCTGAGCCTTGATGACTTTCATTTTTATGGATGCTAGGACGAAGGATTCTCATCCTTGAAGGTCTCAGACTGAGAACAGTGTAAGACGCCAAGATCTACATACCTAAAAAGAGGCGCAGTGAAAAAGGCTTAGTTGAAGGGCCCTAGTAAAATAGGCTGAAGCAGAACCCAGCACTTGCCATGACTCGCAAAAGGACGCTATCGTCGTGAACCTCATCCCCTACACACTGGACAACTCAATTCACGCTCATCGACCACCATGGTTCGACACACGCGCGCCTCGGCTGGTCTCATCAATTCGAATGTCGCGGAAATTGCGAATGTTGAGACTTCAAAGACTCGACGTTCTCATAGAAAGTCCCGCAAGGGTTGCACCGAATGCAAGCGTCGCCATATCCGCTGCGACGAGCGACAACCATCGTGCGCAAACTGCGAGATTGCTGAGCGCACTTGCGTCTTCCCGCCGCCAAAGGTTGGCAAGCAGAAACGGAAGCTGAGACAGAGTCGGAATGAAGAGCAACAATCACAACAAGCAACAGCTGCGTCAACTCCCGACTCCCAAGTGAGCAGTCAAACCAATACCAATAACATCGACAATGCGGGAGGACTCGACGCCAATTCTCACCAGATTCCATCTCCGGCCTCACCTTTACAGCCAGGCGAGGAGCACACTCCACCCGCCGACTGCTGTCCGGGCTTATCAAGTATACCGGGCTTCGTAACCACCAAGGCCATCTTCACGTCTGAACACATGGTTCTGCTGCAACACGCTGATAAAGTGCCAAACTTCACCGGTCCCAACCGCAGCGTAGTTGACATCGCCGTCCGTCGCGCCGTCGACTCACCCTACCTCCTCGATGAGGTCCTCGCCTTCACAGCCTTTCACATGGCTTACCTGTATCCCGGATCAGCCATACAACTCCGCCATCTCGCGACGGAACTCCAGACCCGTGCTCTCGCCTCCTTTACTCGCCTCACGGAAACGGTTCCCAATGACGACAAGGCTACTGCAGTCCCTCGCTTCCTCTTTTCGGGCATCTTGGGCAGACACGTCCTTGCTGACACGCTCACCCACTATCGCTCTGATTTTCACTCATTCATCGACCGCTTCGTTGAATGTTTCAATCTTAATCGCGGCATCAGAGCCGTCACACCACCGGCTCGGCACTTTCTGAACAACTCCGAAATGAAGCCCTTCCTCGACGTTGTACTCAAGGCACATGCAAGAATTACTTCGCCGGGAAACGAGTGCGATCCTCTCAACCAACTCATGGATCGCTCTGATCTCAGCGAGACCAGCACACAAGCCTGTCGCGAAGCCATTGGAGTTCTCCAGTGGTCATTTGATCTCCTTCACGGCCTCGATGAGGACGAATTCCCGCAATCCGCCTCAGCATTCTCCGTCAAGATAGAGGCCAGCTTCGTGGACGTCCTGCGCAAGTACCGACCCGAGGCCCTCATCATCCTTGCCTACTACGGTGTCTTATTGCACCGGTGTCGTAGCTTTTGGGCCTTTGGTGATGCCGGTGCCTTCCTGATTCGCTCCATTTCCAGTTATTTAGGCAGCTACTGGCAAGAGGCACTCGTATGGCCCCTCCATGTGCTCGAAACGGATCCCAATTCGCAGTCGGTAACTCCAGTGCCGAGACACGATGCTCTCGCAAGACCGTGACGTGCGGAACTCAGAAGTCGGAGACTGAAGGTGCACACACTTTGATGCAATAGGCTTTCAACAGAGGTGGAAGACAGAGTGATAGACTTACAATTTGGTATGATGGTAAGAACAAATGTAATGTTACTGTGGTTTGGGGCAATGCAGTAATAACTTTTAATTACCAAGACGCTGTATCCGCAAATGAATGGCTGATAGAGTATAGAAAGCATCATTTGCAATAGAGGCAGTTTTTGTAATTTACAATCTAATCAAACCCAAACATGCGATGGAATTCGCCGCCCAATACAATGCAGCAACTCTTCTATAGCCAAGCATTTGCCAATGTTCTAACTCCTCTCCTGTGATTCTCTCAATAGAGTTATCTCCTCGATCCAGCAAGCAGTCTGTTCTTCATGGCATGCCCACTCTCCAACCCTGTGTCACTTCCGGCATCAGAATCGTCTTCCGTGGCCACTGGAGACATATCAAGCCGTCCAGGATACCACCACGCGAACACGCCGACAGTAAGCAACATAAGCGCGGCGTCAAAGACGTAAAGCGGCCACTCGTTCATCAATAAGTACCCATCCGTCCCCATCACATACTCGATCACCCGGAACACCGACCGGACCATGATCAAAACGCTCACCGCGTACAGCATGGCCAAGATCCTCTGCCACCTCCCCGTGCTGTCCGCCATGGTAGCGCCTGTCGGTCGTCGTAACATGCGCACATGCCACACCAACGCCGTCGCCGCAAACAGGCCGAACCCCACGATCTGCACGATCAAACCGCCGAGGATGATGTACTGCGCGGCCTGCTTGTTGAACTTCTTGCTCGCCTGGAACGAACCTCCCGTCGCTTGTGCGAAGAAGGACACGACGTCTATCAGGACGAAGATGCGGGTGAGCCGAGTCGGGCGGATGATGGAGCGTCGTTCGCCGTTGACGCTGCGGATGACTCGGCCGAGGGTCATGTAGATGGAGGCAGCGAATAGTGCGGGTGCGATGAGGAGAAGGACGCTTTGCATGATGTAGGGGACGAGTGGTGAGTCCTTCGAGTCTTCTGCGATTGCTCGGGCTACGTAACCGACAACTTCGACTGTTTGACCTTGTTAGCTTGACAGAGAGAAGCAAGTAGTAGGAGACGCTTACGAACGCCGCCCACCATGAACGGGATGGCAAATTTAGTCCTCGAGGTGATACTCCTCCATAACACGGCCAATGTGCCAAGTCCAAATAACACGGCCACTATAATCGCGCCCACTTTGGTGGGGATGTAGTGATAGAAAATGTAGCCATTGGGCGATGTCAAGACTGCCATCTTGTATGCTGTCGAAGTCTTGCTAGTGATATTCGGAAAGAGCCCTCACAGCTATGTACGTCTGGTATTACTGATGCGGGTTTCAATGTCTGGGAGTTCTGATATCTGGAAAGCTTGAAGTCTTCGATGTTTGGAAGTTTCAAATGTTTGAGAGTTTGGGTTGTCGATGTGAGAGAGGGTAGATGGTTGAAATTATAGAATGGTCAATGAAGCCTATGTCTGATAAAGCGGAATCCAGAAGCGATTGAAGCAAATTTATCGATGAGTATAAGTATTTGACTCTTCTAGGCACCGATAAATGCCGCTTTCTATTAATACAACTCATCGTGGGAAACAGTTGTGGTTCAATCTACGCGTATTTTACGAAGACAATAATTACGCGTATTTCGGACACCTCAAAATCCTCTAGTTAAGCAACAGCCACGAAAAAGATTGAAGCATTCTTGGCAACGACCTCACTCAGCCACTGCACAGATCGCACGTCGGGAGTCGACTCTCGTTCTCGGGAGCTAGGCAATCATGGGAAAGGCCCTGAATCCTGAATTTCTGACGTGCGGGGCGTTCAATGTTAGTTAGTTCCTGAGCCATTGTGTCCGGTAACGATCTACGAGACTATCCCAATACCGGTGGCCATGCTGCTGGCTGCAGTGCTGTACAGCTTCAACACTGATAACATACACGTATGTGTGCCGCTGCGGCAAGATCTCTGCATCTCCGCATCGCCTCGCACACAGGCTGGGAAGACCTTCAAGTATGCTGCATCTAAGAAATCAGTCACGAATCATCGAGAACCAAGCAAGTAAACCCTAGTGCAAAAAGCACGTCAAGTTGCCAACACTCAAAACAGGGAACGGTGCTCTCCATCAACTGACTTCGGGGTCCTTACGAACTCCCCTTTCCTCCTGACAACATCCTCATTCGAAGACAGCCAGGCACAATCATGTCTCAACCCGATACCCAACAAGACAAAAATACGCACACCTTTGATTTTGGCAAGATCGACTGGGAAGCATATGAATCCCATCGTCCTCCATACCCGGAAGCTCTGTATGATATCATCTTCCAACACCATCGAGAATATGCAGGGCGTTGGGACACCGCATTGGACGTCGGGGCAGGCGGCGGTACCGTGACCAAAGTCCTGCTTCAACACTTCAAGCATGTCGTTTGCAGCGACGCTGCCGCCGGTTACGTGTCGCAAGCCGAACATAGATTCTCTCAAGAGAAGAGCGCCGGACGCGTGAGTTTCGCGCATCGCAAGTTCGACGAGTTCGACCCGGCCACCGATCTCCCACAGGGTCGCATCGTGGATATGGTCACTGCCGGAACGTGCATTCACTTCGGGGATCCAGCGCAGATCACGACGCAACTCGCGAAACTGGTCCGGCCTGGCGGGACTCTGGCTGCCTTTACCTACGGTTCACTGCCGATACTCCCAGCCGACGAGCCAGCGAAAGAGCTCGTTGATACGACGAAAAACAAGATCCTGCGTTGGCTTCACGAGAACGTCAAGGCACTTGATCGGATTGACGCCACGGGAACGGGACAGGCCCGTTATGATAACGTGGACTTCGACCCGGCGCTATGGACGGATGTACGACGGATTACCTCGCTTCCCGATGAGCATGTGTGGCCCGAATGGATCAAGGCCTCTGAGTCACGGGTTCGCGACGACGTCGAGCGGAAGGAGGCGGTTCAGGATGACTTCATCACGAGGCCTGTGGACTTCGATTTCTTCCCAGAGTACTTTAGGAACCTCGCACCCGGTTATGACGTGTCGGATCTGATCAGAGACGACTTGAAGAAGATAAAAGGGGTGATGGGGAGTCGCAAAGTCGTGGCTAAGTGGCCCGTGATCATGGTGATAGCGACCAGGGGTTGAAGTTGAGTATTATGAGTTCTTATCACAGTAATCAATGTTTATTCGCCCAATTAGCAACAAGAAGACGAATTTGGAAAGGCTTTTGATTCAAGATTTGCCATTTTACTCAACGGTTGCCTGTCACTACCGCTCTATCCCAGCCAAGACTTTCAGGGTCGATTGTCATACAGGGCCCGCCCACTGAAAGCTGCTTCCTTCACAGAATATGTCTCTCCTCGCAAATTCTCAATAGCTTGCATGGACGCGACTAAGTTTTTGGATGCCCAAAGAGTAAAGAGACTTGCTGTCGGATGCCATGGAGTCCTTTGGCATCTCAGCGCCTGTAATCCACTGGGTGTAAGTGGAGTCAGAATGGAGCTAATTGCACTATGGATCTTCTCGCTTCTGGAACTTCCATCAATCATCGGTCAAGGTGCCAGAGTGGTTAATGGGCTGCCCTGCTATCAGTTCTTCTGACAGTTGTTCAGGCAGTGGCTTCGGTCGCGCAGGTTCGAATCCTGTCCTTGACGATTTCTTTTTGCTGTCTAGACATTTTCTGACTTTAAACCTGATTTCTGACAGGACTTGCAGTTCTGGTATTGAATTTTCTCTTTTTGTGAATTTTGAACAACGTCGACCTATTTTCTAGCCTCTGGCCAGTTAAGAATGAGCAACAACGGTTACGTTATTAACTATCGTGATTAGGAGATGCAAGTCGCAACGTCACACCGTCAACATTCGTTCACATGGTTTTAGCTTCTGAGAGCTTAATGTTTCGCATGCTTAGAAGTGCTTCCTTTCGCAAAACCGACCGATCTTGAGGGAATCTTATTGCGATTTACCTTATCTGTTGAGGTACTGAATGAAGCTTGTGTGGAAAGAAGAATGAAATGACTTTACGGTGTAACGTCCGTCAACTTTGCCTTCTCACTCTTGGGTATGCAGGCTCAGCAGATGAAGACAGATAGATCAGATTCCTTCGTGGACTAGAAGATTCTAACAGAGACCTACTGTCGAGTCCTTGTTGTGAATCGCTAATTTTCTTTGAGGCATAGGAGGTCGTCTTGCCCTGCTACTTCTCAGTGAGAAGCACGATAAGTCATCTAAGGGCTACGGTCATAAGCTATCAATATCTCCATATCAACTTTATCAATAACAGTTCTTGATTGTAGTATATCGACTCCCGACTCTGTCTAGATCCAAAATAGTCCTTTCACTGCTTATTGACGTATCAATAACTAGATCCACAACAACTCCTAGGATATTAAGAATGATTCTGGCTTGCAACAAGTAGTTACCGAAGACAGCTACATACATACATGTTTCTGCTATCAAATTCCAAGGATTTCGCCCGGATCAATGGACACTCTACGCGACAACCTACTAACTTTTGGAGAGACTTCCTCGTGCCATTTGCTGCAGCGTGCTCAGAATATGACTCTCAAAGCTTTAACAACAAGCTCTTATGAAAAGAGATTTTATCTCAAACGCGCCCAAGAGGCTGCTCTCAAATCTGGGGAGCATAACCAGTCATATTATCCACCAGTGGATTACACGTCACCGCAGCCGACGCCCCGGCTCTGGAATCCACCTTGCGACGAGCAAGCGTTATATGTTACAGATGATGACTTGGATCCAACAGCCGAGACGCAAAATCCGGGGGATTGGAACGATCGACCCAGCAATTGATGCTGTGGTCGGAGCGAACAATTCTAAGTGGGACTGTAAACGAACCCAGTCTGCCGAGCGACCGCAGATATGGTATGGCTTTCTCAAGCCATCTAATGAGGCTCAACCTTCGAATCTTCTATTGAAACATGAAAGTCCAGTCCTACGGAATTTGAACAGACCTGAAGCTTTGCATGCAGAAATAGACAGCGTAGTCTCGTTGCACCCGGCATCAGACTCGTCTACCATGAAATCCCAAACCGAACCCGGTCTCGGCCAAACTCCGCGCTGTACGAGGACGGAATCAAGAATGACCACGGAAACTCACTACCTGGCCAAATTCCATCTATTTTGTTTTATCCATCTCCTCGAACTCAACGAAACGTTTACTGAAACTTGAAACAGACTCTCGGAGATCGAGATGAAGTTGTCGTCTAGATGACGGCGACGAAGAGGAGCAGCCTTCTACACTAAATCCAGGTTCGTCACTAAGCCAGGGTTCTTGTCGAAATTCTGACGAGCCTATTCCAATTTCGCTCCCGATGCTGATAGAGATCAAGGTCCATCGTACACTAACGTGCTGGACGCTGACTCTGGTGGAATTCAACGTGCTTCGCAAAGGAAACAAGCATGAGGGAAGCCTGTGACGTAGATGAGCTATCAAGGCTCGATACTTGTTAATCCGATGTAAATCATGTGGCATATGGCAAATGCATCACGCTTAGATTGAATCTCGATTATTTGGCTTAAAAGTTTCCAATTCCAAAAAACGCTAGTCTACCAAAGAAACGCGCTTCAGATGGCCACCCATATCTATGTTCCGGAATAAGAAACAAGTGTAAGAATTATATGCTTTACTTAAGCCATGACGAAGTCAACGCAGCTCTCGTAAGTCTGCTTAGCGCTGGTACCGAACCAGAACCATTGCATGACACACTGGCCGGCCTGAGCGCATGTTCCAGCGGGCAGGTTGCTGGGCATCGTGACGTCGAAGTTGGTGTTGTTTGCGGGCAGTTGGGCAAGCTTCTCATCGGCGTAGGTGTCGAAGACGATCAAAGGTTCTCCGATGACCTTGTTGGTCTTCGTGTCGACGATCGAAACGTTCATCGGGCCCTCGTGAGGGATGGGCAGCGCTGCGCGCATGTTCACAACCTGACCGGCCTTGAATGTCTGAACATTGGCCTTGTTGTCCTCGAATGTGGCACCACGGCAGAGATCCAGCTGGCCTAGAATGAGTGATTAGTGGGTGAAGCAAGGTTATGAAAGTCCAAGACTATTAGCTCACATGTTGCCGGAGGGCTAGTGAAGTCCTCCAAGGGGATGGTCGGGTCAGACAACACGGTGTTGACGTTCTCCTGTCCACAGGCCTTGATCATCGCCGGTCCAGGGACTCGCGCGGGAGGAGAGGTGATGTTTCCATGGGCGGAGACCATGGCGGCGAGGAGGGCCGTGGCAGCGGTGATCGAAGCGCGCATCTTTGAATCGGTTTATCGGATAAGTGAACAGAAAAACTGACGAAACAAACAGAGGTGTACTATGGACAGAGAATGGTAGTAATATGAAAGAGAGAAAGTTGTGACAGAGTAGGAAACGAGTGACCAGCACAATTGATTGATGAGATAAAGCTGAAGTGAAAGACCGGACGAAAGACGTTAGGACCAGGAGGGCGGCCTTACGACTACAAATACCAGAATCTGGCCTTTGCCCGACGTCCACGATGACACTTCCAACCCCGGTCCGACAGCTTGAACGATGATCAATGATTTGACAATGATGGCCGGCGATCATAGCTTTGGTCCCCTCTCCGACGGCGCGCGTCCGGATGCGCGGGAACTAAGGTTGCTGCCCCATTCTTTGCCTAGTGCGATCTGGGTTTCCTCGGTTTCTCCCAAACCTACCCGGGGATGATCCCTGGGCGAAACGAGGTCGCTTGAGGCTCTTCGAGGGGTGCTCAAGACAAGCTTGGTGGGATCCACGTGGATGAAACGTCGCAAGTTCTTGTGCCGTCCTGCTTCCGGTGCGGACGGATATGGCCATGGTCGCAACCTGCGACAAACCCTGTCTGGGGGTGTTCGTGCAGCGAAGAAGCGAGAACAGAGAAAAAAGCCAAACGCGAGGACGAGGAGAACCGGCACTTACTGCAGAGTTCGATTGAATTACGAGTCGGGCGGATTTGATTTTTAATCAACGAAGGCATGACGAGGCATCTTCTACGTCCGTTGCAATGCCAAGCCGTCAGTTTGGACGCACTTGTACACCTCTCCAATCCCAAAGAGATCGGAAGGGAGGGCACCGAACCAGCGGCGCGGGTCCGCGGAGGCTTCGGCACGCTGATTGGGCGAAACACTCCCGAATTGGCAATTCAACCCCGGCAAAGTGGATCAGTGTTTCCGGAGCGGCGCCGGGGGGACATTTTTTCTTAGAGCACTCGTTACCTCTTGGCCCTGATCTACAGCAGGCACCGTATCCAAAGCATTGGCGCCAAGTCGACTACAACTTCCATCGTAAGGGATCTACGAGTCATAAGACAATCATTAAACAGATACGGGGTTAGACATGCCACTTTGCGAGGACGGAGAAGGCGATCACTCATTCACCAAAACTGAGTCCACTGCGAGGCCAACCTCCTGAGCTTCAGATTGACGGGCGCACAAAAGATAGGGAAGCTTTCGGGTCCCGATGACAAGACCAGCTTCCCTAGGGCGCAGCATGCCGTCAGAGTTAGACTCGACAGGACAAAGACGCTAAGAGGCCCCTGAAGCAACGTCAGTTCGTTGCTATAGCCCCTTTAGATCAGGCCGGAGCCGGAACAAAAGCCTATTTTGTGGGTTCTGTCTCTCGGAATTTTGTTCGGGGCTGAGTGAGTTATGCCACCGCAAAACGATGCGGATTCGTGGGGGGATGCGGAGGCCGATTCGGGCGGATAAGTATGAAGGTTCTTCCATGACTTCGGAATCCTGGCCCGAGTGAGAAAAAGGTTATTGCCCCTGAATCGAGGAAATGAGTGCCGCTTCAACCGCCATAGTTTTCAGAAGGCGGCTGCTCGATCAACTTCTCAGTTCGATGCTGACCACCGTCACAACCACCGGCACACTCAGTACCGAAAAATCGTTCCATGGTTACAATCATCAGAAATGGCATCACGGCCGACTTGATATCAGTGACCACAGAAGCTGTCAAAAGTTTGTTTCTCGGCGTTGAGTCTTGACACGACCCATCGTATCCACACAATTTTGTTTCTCGTGCGCGCTAGTGTGCATCGACCGCCCGCGATGGGCAGTCGGAACATGCAGATGGCAACCTCCAGGTGAATAGTTTGAGTCAGTCTTGCGGGCTCGAACATCAAAGACTTCTCGCTGTACCGACCTAATCGAAGCATACTAACCTTCGTGTTATCGATGCTGATCGCATCATGCGCAATCATCACATGTTCACAGAGTAAATCATACTAATCTGATTGTATGCGAGAGTGACAGGGTCAAACTGAGTGAAACACTAAACCATATCAAGAAATACTCCAGAACTGGCCGATGAAGGGACAGAAGACACGATATTGGGAATCTCGATTAAGCAAGGCTCTCAATTTTGAAAAGGCTCTTATTGTACGCCCTAAGATAATATTATTCATGGTGCAGGGATTGAAGGCATCATAAGTAGAACCAATGTACGCAAGTGATACAGCTTCCTGCAATATAAAGAAGCTTCTGACAAGTAAGTTGCCGAATGACTCACTACATATTCAGTGTTGATTAATGAGACTGATATGTGTTAGCTTCTGTTAGTCGTAACATGTTGACCAGAAGCACGGCTCGTGGTGAGCGGGAATCTTGGGAGTCCTGTTGGAGAACTTGATGTGAAGTGTGCATCTGCTTGTGAAGGCTTTGGCGTCTTTTCGCATTTTATCGTATCACGGTACCTACTTTAGTCTTCATAATTTAGCTAAGGTAAAACACTGCTATGTGTTCTTGTCATGATATCCAGACACATTGCACAGCCATTTGAATCTTAAGAAGTCCCTTCAAGTCCTACGATCATCAAGCCTCACGAAGAACAAACGCATGCTAGCAATATTGCATTTGTACTTCATAAATATCATAATTGAGCTGTTTCTGAGCGCCTGATTATGAATTATTTTCTTGTAATTGGTCGAATATCACGAGTGCATTTCATTGGGCCAGACCTGCATGATGACTTGGCACACCGAAAAGGCCTGGGCCAACGAACCATTGGCTGCCTGATATGCATCTCAGCAGCCTCATCATTAATTGCCGCAATATCTGTTTTCTATAATCTCAACCTTCTTATGCAATCCTCCAAAGGCGTTGTTGAGTCTTCATGGAGTTCTTCTTCGTTCATTCTCAATAGCTTGTGTTATTCCACATCAGTCACACCAACAGTTCAGTATTCGGGATCACCATGGACTTCGTTCAAGACGTGGATAGTTTGAGATTGGACGCTTTCGGTCCACAAACTTACGTGAAGAGTCCCAGATGGGAAGAAGGCCACGACTCCAGTAGCTTCGAGCCTGCCGAAAGTCAGGAGAAGCAATGGCAGGATGTGCTACGTCTCAAAGAACGTTCAATGGGCGAGTATCATTCACTTTGGAAGGCCAAGTGTCGAAATCGTATCAAGGAATGGACTGCATATGTGAGTAATCTCTGGAAGTAATCAGTGACATCATCAACAAGGAGCTTATCAGAGCCGGTTCAGCCGAGTCGACACATCTGGTTGCCTTCGAAGCCACTCGATATGAAGCGACATCTTATCTTGGACAACTCCGACTCAGAAGATGAAATGCCCAATGCCGAGAGAATCATGGGCCGAGACTACGAATCTCTTGTCTTCGATGACGGAAACTACGTGAATTCCAGCGATTTCGATGCGTTCGCTGCCAAACTTTATCAAACAGAACAGTCTAACCCGGCCGTCGCACCCCATTCATGCTCCCACTGCGAAAAATTACAACTAGATCTTCGTCGTTGTAAGTCTGATACCTACTACACCCCGAAGAGGGTCGAACACGGCATTGCAGCTAGGGGTCCCGGCTGGCGAATCGACGACGTTGACATCTGCACACTGGCTGAAGCCAAGGACGCTGGAGCTCTGGAATGCGTTTTACTCGAAAGACTGTTTTCAGCGGCGAAGAAGATCGCCGGCTGCGATATATCACTACAAGGTGAAGACAGCGAGTCCAAATGGCGACACTCAGTTGGGAGAAAACGCATTTTCCTACTCATCTTCGTAACCCGAACCGAGGAGAACCCTTTGATCCAGCTCTTCTTTGAACTCGAGGATGAAGGAAGTATCGCCAAGTATGAGATATTTGCGCTTGCCGGTTAGTCTTGAATCATCATCGTTCTGAGTTCAAATCATGTGGTATTATCCTGACCTTTCTTTCGCAGAAACGCGCCCCTCTCATCGTTCATTCTGGGAACGAGTGACACCAAATCTGCTACCCAATTCGGAGCTACACTTCTTGAAGCAGAAGTTCTGCATAGACAATTGCCACCGAGATCACAAGGCGTGTCAGTTGCCCCAATTTACGACTCTCTTTCGACCGAAGAGGCTGCTCGAAATCATCGGAGATGGTCCAGTGCCCCAAATCCGGTTGTCATCCACGAAGGATCAGGTATTATACGCGACTCTATCCTACTGCTGGGGCGGAGATCAACCTGGAAAGACCCTGAAGGAGAATGTTCGGTCTTATGAAGTCGATATTCCGTTCCCTAAAATGCCTCGTACTATTCAGGATGCCATCGTAGTCACCCGAGGCATTGGCCTGAAATACCTTTGGGTCGACGCCATGTGTATCATCCAAGATGATGATAATGACAAGCAAGATCAGATTGGAAGAATGCACAGCATCTACAAAAGCTCCTTCATAACCATCGCCGCAGCGGTTGCAGACAAAAGTATTGATGGTTTTCTTCATCCCCGTACCCAATGGCAACCGATCAGAATGAAGGCCAGATTTGACGACAATGTCTTCTCAGACGTGGCGTTGGTACCAGTGACCGAAACACTGAAAGATGCAGTGCTCTTCACCAGAGGCTGGACTTTTCAAGAGACGCAGCTTTCGACCAGAATGTTGCTGTACGGACACCGGGAACTCATATATGTCTGTAAGCAGGGAGTGTTCTACGATGGAGGAATTGGAATCAATACAACATCACTGGCTCAGCAAGTTGATCCAGGCAACTACGCTCAATTAAGCCACCCACAGAGCTGGGGTGCCATAGTTGGCAACTACTCAGCACGTAATCTCACCGTCGGACAAGACAAGCTGCTTGCTGTTTCTGCCTTGGCTGAGGAGTATTCACGAACGAAGAATCCCGGGAAATATTTTGCAGGCATATGGGAGTCTGACTTCCTTCGCCAATGTCTTTGGCAGCCCCAATCACCCTTGAAAACCAATCGCCCAATACCATATCGGGCCCCCTCCTGGTCATGGGCATCCCTAGAAGGATCCATCAGAGACTTCGATTCCATGCCGGTAACTCACAAGACCCGGGATAAGAACTTTGACGGCACGCATCCAGAAACTTGCAAGCTCATTTCGGTCAACACAAAATTGGCTGTTCCAGACAGCCCGTTCGGCATGGTAACTGGAGGGCATATGACCGTTCACGGCAGAATGAGGAAGGTCGTTTGGTCCAACACGGGTACTAGAGCAGGTTTTGGAGGCCGCATGGCGGGGGACACGGAAGAAGACTGGCCAGACTCATATGGAGTAGATGAGCGCCTAGCTTTCTATATCGATGTTCCGACGGAATGGCCCACAGGAGAAGTTCATCTTTGGAGTCTAGAAGTTATCAGAACGGGCGAGCGGGAAGGTTTCGGCCTGTTGTTGAAGGAAGTCAATGACAGAGAGGGTACTTTTCGTAGAGCAGGTTTACTGCGGATTAAGTCAGGCTACGTTGGCCTGGGTCGTTGGTTCGACATAGATTACGAATGGCGGCAGGTCGTCATTGTCTAGCGTTAATTCAATTTTTTTCTGTTTTGAACGAGACTAGTTAGTGCGTGATCGCGATGCACCACTAGCAGGAACTTGCACAGTCCACCGTGTGAATGAAAAGCAAGGAAGTGATGCGCAGTAGAAGTACTGTTCACTGGTTTGTATGAGAGTATGTACTTAGCACATCTTTCTCATACAGTAAGGCGAGCAGAATGGAAGGGTTAGTGACGTGAAGAGAAAGAGGTAAGAAGCAATTCGTCGTGTGAAGACGATCAACACATCGGAATCAGGCTAAGAATATTCTCCGCAACAAGTCAAGCAGTGAACGGCCGGAAGGATAGGCGAATGCACATATACAGAGTCGGCTTGATTCACTATATATACTCATAATTTAGGGACTTTATATACGCTCCGGTCTGTCCCATTGAAGTCGCCCATATTGCATTCGCTCAAACCCATCACTCATCTCAATGCGCAGTCCCTTTAGCATCCCTTCAGGGCCTTCATGTATTGTTAGCGTCCGTTAGATGAGACGTCCTGGTCGTGTGTGTGACTTACCGCCTGCTTGTTCTTCGTGTTCTGATCAATGCCACCGGCGAATTCCTTCTTCATCTCGGCAATAGTGTTCAGGTCGCCCTTAGTTCCCTTCAAGCCTTGGGCCTGCTTGAGCTCTGTGGCTTGGGCGTTCTTGACCTGTGACCGGCGTAAGTAAAGCCCAACATTTCTTCCTGCTGTGACAGCGACTTACCTTCTCCAGACCGGCAGCCGCACCGTTGCCCTTGGCGAGCTCCTGGTTCTGGGTCCGGACCTTGATGCCGTCGTCGATGGTCTTCAGCAGTGTCTGCTTCGCCTTATCGAACTGGCCCTTATCCGGGTTGTTTGAGTTGACGATCTTTTCAATAGCCGCGACGTTGGATTGTTCCTTCTTCTGAATCTCGATGTTTTTATCGATGCCAGCGGCCAGCTTCTTCGCGTTGGCGCAATCTTGGGCCTTCGCGTTGGGCTTGCCGTTGTTGGCCTTGGCCTTGGCGCCGTTGTTGGTCTTGTTCTTGTTCTTGTCCTTATTCTTGTCCTTGTCGGCAGCTGCAGCGTTGGTAGCAGCTTCGGCTCGCACGACGAGGTCATCTCCCTTCGCCTGAGGAGGCAAAGCTAGGGCGGACGCTACGGTCATGCCCATGAGGAGGGTGAGGAGAGTCTTGGTGAGCTGCATGTTGAAGCTTGAATGTTGTGAATGGTGGGTGAGATGAGTTTAATGAGCGTGAGAAGTGAATTAGCCTTATTCAATAAGTGCGTTTGACCAGAAGCGCGATGATGATGATGCTGTCCTGAGAGTGGTGGATAGAGCGACAGTCACGACAGTCTTATACTCTTGTCTTCCCGCGAGTCAATCTGGACGCGCCGCGTACCGGTAGCCTTCATCGGAGTCCGTCGTCATCTCAAACATGTTGGGCATACAAACTTTCACCCGAGGACCCCGAAAGAACCAGCTGAACACCACACGAGGAAAAGTCTGTTAGTCGCAGCCTTCATGATTCCAGGGGTAGTTTCGCTTTCGCACGATGCATCCATTGGTGTCCATGGGCGGAGACCCCGCGCGCGTCTTTTTCCGTCCGATGTCACCGTCGCAAGACAAGCTTTTGGGTAAGTGAAGAAAGAAGATTTACCCGCATGTTTTGGGCTGATCTTCTCAGCCAGCCGTTACCAAGGATCGTCGCGCTCGCGTTTCATTATGTAGCCCTAGACCACGGCCGTCTTCTCAATGCGTACCAGAAGCGTCCCCAAATGGCGAGCTTTCTACGGTTAAGGGACCCGACAACACCGAAGAGTTGGGTTGATGATCTTCGCCGCGCGCAACCTTATCACCACATATGCCAGTCACAGTCCTTGGCAAGAACGGTTACGTGGAGCAGGGATCGCATAGTCGGCTGCTTCCTGTGGTCTCGACCTCCCCTACCCCGTCCATCTAGCTTTCATCTTCACCTCAGTGTGGTATCAGAACGACCTCACTTCTGCCGAATTCGCCTGCTCTTGTGACACTCACTTACAACTGATCAATAAGTCCCACGTTGATGTGATGTCTGACTCATGGGAACGGCGCCTCGTAAGACGGCACTGCCCGCCCATTGAGCTGGTTTCATTTTCATCCAGAGATCCGGTGTACCAATCGCTTTAGCAACCGGAACCGATATCAGTTTGTTGTCTTAGTGATGCCAGAGAGATCAGTCAAGACGCCAAGACTGTGAACGCGTTCACCTCAACGATGGCGTCGCCTGTACCTGCCACCCTCAGAACATCGTGTCTCTTCCCGTAGCCGAGCCATCTTTTGTTGCTGCGCTCAAGCATTTGCTTCATGATCAAGAGTTTATGTCATCATTAAAGTCAACTGAAGCCCATCACACCACATCGTCCTTTGGTATTAGCGCCACTTCAATCTTCAACAAGAAAACCGCCAAATCTTCTTGCACACGTGGAAATCGTACTCGGCAGAGTTCATGCATGGCCAGTAACTTGCATCGAAGCATGCAGCGAAGGAGGGACCGTTGGACAGACCGGCCGACACCCTTTCTCAAAATAAAGTTCGCCGAGTCTCGAGTTCGCCGGCGGGCTGATCAGTTGGCATGGGTCAACCCAGAACCGGACGGAAAGCCAGCCAAAAGATGCCGCTTCGGGATACCAGTGTGCTCAACAAGATTGGGTAAGGGGGAGGGGGGGAATCAACCAAACAAGCCCACCGCGGTTACGACCGCACCTATGGACTGCCTCCATGCCTATGATCTCTCTCCTCTGTGCCGCCTTCCCCGCGGCAAGTGGGGTGCGGACTTGAACAAGCTTCTCTTCAAACGCGATTCGGCCGGTCACGGACTTCTCCTGCAGTAGCGCGGTCTAAAGGCCCCTCGAAGCTCGCGACTAGTGGCGTGTTCCTTCAGTTACCGGTTTTAACCTCGTTGGAGGTTGATGATGAAGAAGCTTAAGGCTTCGGGACGCTCATTCCACATCATAATTGACCAAAGGTTGATCCCTAGAAGAAAGCTGCAGCTACCCGCGTTGGTCTACTTTCTGGTGTTGTGGAATAGTCGTCTGAAGATGGTGTGTAATACGGGTAAATTTCCCAGCCGGATCTTCACCATCCCATCACTCTCCCGCCGAGAGGTCACATCGCCAAGTCGTCAGTGTCACTCCCTTCAACAAGCTTGTGTTCGCCGATCAGCACTTGGCTCTCGTCTAACCCCACGAGTCTCTGATCCTGGCGTCAATCATTATGCATTGCTCGGCTGAAAACAAAAAGTGGCCGGTCCCTTCTAACGGTCTCTCTAGAAGTTCGGACTCGGCCTGGTCTATTCTCCATGTCCGTGTGAGCGCGAGGGCTGATGTTGAGCGCACTTGACACTGGTTCATGCTCATCGGCTGAGGTTGCGCTTCAGAACTGAAAACGCGAAAACGTGATGTCGGCGAGAGCGAGCTATTCCATACCAAATTGGTCTCATAAACGCACGTTCTTTGCTCAGCCGCGTTCTCGCGTGTCCGTTCCTAAGCACCATTTTTTCTTATGTGATTACAGGCTCAACGAGTCCCCAACTGAATCGAGGCTTTTTCGCAGATCAAACTGAACTTTCTTATTTGTCAAACCCCGCAACCCCCAATCCGGGTGACGCGCGGTCGGGAATCCGGCAAGCTGGAAGCTCTAAATCTGGGGCTTCCCTGTTATTGATCACTGAGTTGTAGCCTTACAGTCATGAGACGCTTGGACATGTAATCAGTCATAATCTCCGCCGAAGTTGAATCTTTCTGATTCAAGCATTGTGAAGTTTTCGGATCGTCAGTCTCGGGAAGCAGTTTTGAATACATAGCATTTATTGAGACGCTGTTTTCGTCTATATCTTGCACGATACGTAATGGCTATTCTCATACGGCCCCATCTGACACAAGCTTTCACTACGTGGCGCTGTTGTCTCTTATATCAGCAACGTCTCTTCAGCAACAGTTGAGATGTCAGTTCCTTGTCCGCAAACCAGTAAATAGTTTCAGTCACTTGTTGCTGAAGCTCGTTTTCGATTTCGTTACGTTGGAAGGTCGACGACTATGATTGCGGGCGTTCACGGAAACAACAAGAGTTGCTGATCAGATGAAGCAGGCAACGGAAATAGAAACTCAGGGTGTCGAGCCTCCTGTAGGGCACGATGAAAGGTGGGCATACGACGACTTCTATCAGCGAGTCATACGGTGCTCGGAATCATTGGATGGAAATCACGCTAAGAGAGAAACAGCCTCGTTTTTGTGGGATTCAATACCAATATACAACAGGAGAATGTTTCTTCGAATCGTCTGAAGTAGTGAAACCTGCATTCGCGTACAACGTGTCATATAACACAGCCACGTAAAGCAGAAACGCCCCTTTATCCTACACAATCAGCTATCCTGAGCCCCAATGAAGACTTTTAATAGAATGAAAGTCGTTCTGAGTATTCTCTCCGTGAACACTTTCCCAAGCGACAAAATGCGACTGACTACGTTATAGGGGAATCTTGGTTCACGTATACCTTATAAGTCAATCAACTTCGAAGCAAGAGAAGACTCCGGCGTACCAATGCAGCAGACGTACTGCTAATATGTTGAGATCATGATAGAGGACTTCTTTTAGACAAATCGGGTTGCGTCATCCCAATTGACTTCCGCGGCATGACAATAAAACACAAACCAAGTTACCGGATAGCATCTTATAGGACGCTTTCGTTTTGCACACATCAATATGCAATATGCAAGGTCTTGTGGCTGACGATTGCATACAGCTGTTATAGGTAAGAATATTTCAAGCACGGTACCGCACCGTTTGTACGCTTTAGTTTTCAATATCAAATGGGACAATTTCTACATGATGTCCTACAGTGTGCAGAGCGTCTCGTTCTAGCCAATATTACCAATCAATCAAATCGTGCGAGGCATTCAAGCAATGGCCTCCCATTTTTTGACACTCCTCGCATATGAGTACTTGTTGATACCCGATTTCACACTTGGGGCATATGTAGACGGCTCCATGGATGTCTTCAACAGCCGTCAGACAGATATCGCAGAAAGATCCCTCCACCCAACCGACATCTGCTGCTTGAAAGGTTGGTGAAATCGCCATGTCACCAAGCGTGGAATCAAAGTCGTTCGCTAACAACTGTGCTATAATAGGTTCATTGCACTTGGAGGCCCACCACAAAGCCGTTTTACCCAAGCAATCTTGAGATCCAGTGTCGACAAGCCCACTTGCAAGCAGGACCCGGACAGCGCCTACTCGGCCTCTCCTTACGGCTGCGGAAAGAGGGCTTATCTTGAAGGCGTCTTTCTCATCAAAAATGCCAGACTGCGTTGCAGGGAGAGCTTCAAGAACCGATGCGTCGCCCGCGGTTGCTAACCACCATATTCCAGTTCGACCAACAGAATCCTTCGTTCCGATCAGGATCTCGAAGTGGCGAACAAGGAAATTGTGATCGCTACTTTGACCTGAATCAGAGTAAAAGGACACAAGCTGTCGTACTGATAAAGGTAGAGCGTCACGAAGAAATCTTGCCATGTCGAATTGTGTGTGTTTAAAAGCCGAACGTAGACAAGATTCGTCCGAAACAGCTCCCGCGGAAAGAAGCAGCTCTACCACTCTGACATGTCCTCTTATTGACGCTATACCCAGAGGACTTATCTCTGTGTCGAGTCTTGAATTCGGATTCGCGCCAGCTCGAAGGAGAAGTTCAACAACATCGCGGTGCCCATTGCATGATGCCAAACCCAGCGGTGATTGTCCATTCGGGGCGACGGTGTCTGGACTCACATTCTGTTCCAAAATTAGGCTAACTGAGCCAAAGTTTCCTTGTTTGGCTGCCGAAGCTATCATTGTCAAACCTTCGTAACTCATCGAGATGACGTTTGGATTTATGTCAAGCAGCGCTTTGAATAGATGCAGGCTCTGATTTGTGTTCGCTTTCCGTTGCCATCCCATTGAGAAGGATTTTGGTTCGAATATCGCAGAAGCCATTCGTGGCGTCACTTGAATGTAAGGTTTGGCGTGGTTGGCAAGCTCTTGAAAGCTTTCAAGAGGATCGCTCCAGCTTTGAAGAGCCTTGATCAACATTTCCTCGGTGATCGGGAAACTTCGTCTACTCAGCAAAATCTGCAAAACTTTGGTTCCCCGATAGTTGGAAGCGGCCGCGGCTGGCAGTTCTGGTGTAGCTATAATGTCTTCAGAAGCCATGTCAAGTATGAACTTCATCATTTCTGGCGATCCTCTCTTAGCTGTTTTCAAGACAACGCCCGGCGTGATGTCAATCTGACCAAACTCTTCGCATAATATCGGGAAGACGTTTGTAGATATATTTGCTGCTGCTCCCAATACTACTTTAGTGGTGAGGTGGATCTCATTGCCTCGTTTTTGTAATAATAGTTTTAAGGCTTCTCCCCTATACGCCCCAGCAGCTGCCGAAGCCAGAAGATCGATGGTGATGTGTGCTTTAGTGTCTCCCATGCTCAAAAGTAACGGCAGAATATCCATACTTGCTCGATAGTTCCTCATTGCACCCATAATCAGATTGTGGGTGACGTGAACATCCTCGTCTGCTTCGTCGAAGAGAAACTTCAGAAGTTCTGTATTTGAGCTCATACGAGTCGCGGCAGCAAGCATATCCTCCGTGACTTTGATCTTCTCATCTGATCTGTTCCATAGGAATTTCACGTTCTCCACTTGAAGGTCCCGGTATACGGGGAAACCGTCATCGAGGCCCATGAGGTCTCTGATAAGTTGAGATGTGATCCTGACTCTGCCATTCGATAGCTTGAAGACTGTCTCCAGTGTGTTCCTAGGGGTGTATGCAGCAACTGTAATCAGGACTTTTGGCGTTATTTCGAACTTGGGTTCTCGCCCCTCCAACAGTGGCAGGATCATCGCCCCGGCGTCTTTTGCTTGCATGCGAGTAGCAGCACTTGAAATCATCTGCCAAGTGATCTCGATTTCATCGCGACGCTGATCCAGAAGTTTCATCACGTGCGGGACATATGCAAAGTGACGGCACATGACTTCTGCTGTCCTTTGGGAGACCGGAAACTGTTTCCTTCCGCCATGAGCTAGAATGACTTCCGCAACACACGTTCTATATGACCACATAGAAGTAAGGATGTCATCGACCTCGAAGCGCCCTGTTAGGCCTTCCAACTGGCCGTCCAGTATGATTTTCGCAAGCCAGCCGATGTCGGCCCTTGTTGCAATACTATCGGCTCTTCTGGGGATGTCCAAGAAACTTGGTATTTTTGAGAACAAATCACGCTTCTTCGTCGAATAGCTGGTACCTGGACTAGGAGAAAGAAGGCATTTCAACAGTTCTTGGAGTGGCTCGTGATCATATACGTCGTTCTCTGAATCCAAGTGGACGTGCCAATTCAAGTCGGCGTAGTGAAAGAGTGGGTAGTCCTTGTCTAGCAGTCTGTCCTCGTGATCAAGACACAGATACTTCATGAGGGTATATGCTGGGAAGACCTTTGGGCTAATTTTGAGGGGCATAGACAAGACCTCTTCGTTTTGCTGCAAAAAGTCTTTGAGAGATTGATGAAGGACGAAGACCTTGCCCTCGACCACGTCCAATAGTGTGCCTAACACTTGTGTGATAGTTCTCGAGTCGAGCAAAGGCATGTTCCTGACAAGCTCCTTGTAGGTTGCCTGATCAGGAATAGCAATCCCATCAACAGCCATAGCGTGTTGGAGTTCTTGGCACCCAAGCGGTTGCTTTGAATAGGCAACCATGGCCAACATACGAGCGGCTTTGCTAGTTTTCCTTGTAGCTTGATTGATCAACTCCTCGTACAACTCATATAAGTCTTGAGAGCTTTGGTCAATTTCATGCGCGACCTCGATCGGCGTCGGAAGCTCCAGATTCGCAAGTCTTCGGACTACTACATCGAGCCACAAGAATGATTGCTCAGATCTTAAAAGCAGCTGGGATTTGATAGACTCTTTGGTCTCTTCCGTGAAAGCTGAGGCAAGCCGCAAAACTCGTTTCTCGATGAAGGTTGTGATGTCCTTTTGGTCACAGCGAAGCCTACTGCAATCCAATGAGCCCCAAATGGATAAGATCTGTCGAATAGGTCTTGATGTGCAGAACAGATGGGCCCTGATCTCTGACCTTGCCGCACCGGATACCCACATCTGCCTTAACTTGTCCACAAGCTCGATCATATTAGGATCCTCATAAACGTCAAGTCCGTCGATGACGCAATAGATCTGGCGGTGTTTGCCACTGAACAGCAGCTTCTCAAAGACCTGCAGTAGTTTTGAAAATACAGCAGATTGAAATTTGTCCTTGTCCGCTGCCCAGTCTGAAGGTAGCAGTCGGAACAATGTCGTCTGTGCTTCACAAAGCTGAAGGATGAGAGATCGCAGAACAGATCTTGCACTAGGTGCGACCTCGTCACCTCTGATACTGCAGAAGTAATATATAACTTTGGTATCCTGAGACGATTTTGCATTGAGGTGTTGCAGTACAAAGTTGGACAAAACCGATTTGCCGGAACCTGGGGGTGCCGTAACCAGAAGCGAGCTTGATTTTGGTGCGTCTCTCCACGAAAGGAAAGTGTCTGAATGCAAGACCTTCTCACGCTGATTATTGGGGACGTTGTCCGCATTGGTATCTTTGTCATGGTCTATGGTGTCGTTTTCCTCGCGTACCAGCCACTCCAGTGTCCCCTCTTCCGGCTTCGGGAGCTTGGCTGAATTACGAAAAGCAGAATATGGAGGATCGTTCAGGTTGTTCCATTGTCTCTGATCGTCGGGTGAAAGAGCTAAGATTCTCGTCAATCATAACTGCCTCGATCTATTTAGGTGCGAACGTACTATCAAGATGTCGCTGACTCAAGCGATCTTTTGCGGAGTCGACTACTCGTACGAGTCTGTTCAGAACACGATCATAGAGATCGTGACTCCTGGAATCAAACTTAACAAGCCCAGAATGATCGACGTCGAATGATACAGCTGGCTCTCCGGCTTCCCCTACAGCACTTGTTGCGGAGTGACTCGTGACCATAGAAACGCCGGGGCCGGCTTTTTTCAAAGTCCCATCGGATGACATCTAAATCAGTTAGTCTGAGATCAGTGCGCTCGTAGATGTACAGCTCACTAACCTGTACCGTGGATGTAAGTCGAGTCTCGTAGAAACAAACGACTGGGCAGTGGCTACCCCATCTCTCTGAGAAGTCTGTTGAGATCCGCTTGAGAAAAGCTGACGGCTCTAGATGGTCGTCAAGAATGAGATCTCGAATCAGAGACACGTTAGGTTGGTCTTCCACGATACTGAGCAGCGCTCTGTTGTTGAGGCCGTGGCTAGGGACACCGAAGAGAAGTAAGCCACAGCAGGCTTGGAAGATGGCGTGATACGGCTCGAAGTCTTTTTGCTTCATGGCTCGCAAGAGACACTATTGCTCGCTCGTTAGCCTCATTTGCGATGTAAACAATGATCTTTGGTATCTCACCTCTTTCACCAAGAGACCCCCAAGGCTGTGTCCTATGAAGATAATGGGTCGGCGTTTGGACTAAGTCATAATCAGCCACAGCTTTCTAAGACGCGACAGCGTTATCGTACTTCTTGGTCTCTTCGGACAGCCGAAATTAGGTCCAGCAACCCTTCACTCAATTCTTCGATGTTCTGTCGTGAATTACTGCGCAAAAGCTTGGTGTCGTAACCGTAGAGCAGGATCCTAGCGTCGGGAATGTCCCGAGGGAGAAAGTCTCTCAGCCAGACGTTGTTGTTACCCGGTTTCGAAGACCTCCACGTCCCAATCGGGTGGCTCGCAAGACCTGGTACCGCAATAATACTGGGAAAAGGCTATCAGCGGGTTTGAACGTTTGAATGAGACTGAGCTTACTCGACAGCATTGTCACCATCAGCATCCGTGAGCGGCGTAATGCCGTAGAAATCGCAATCAAACTCGTATGACATGCTTGACTCGTAGCTGGCTTCTTTCAGCCTCCTCAGCAACTCCGACTGTGGCAAAGTTGTCGGGAAAATTGCCGTCGCACGCGCGTCATGTTTATTGACTCGGGCGAACGTCAACCGTTCTACGCCCTTCACCGTGGTCTCCAGCTCGGGGTCCTTCGAAGCCAATGACATCAAGTCATTTTGCAGGCCTTCTTTGGACTTTTCTATCGGTATTTCTTGTATCCGGACAACAATGCTCTTCCTCTCTCGCCGAGGCTTCGGTTCGATTGGGGGCGCTTGTCGGGAAAGCTGGAGGTAAGACAGTACGGCGGCTACAATGGTGATGACCAGCGCAACTATCGGAGGCCAGACGGTGTCTCCAAAGAGACCCGACGCAGTCGTCCAAGCCATGAAGTTGTCCGATATCAGCTGTGTCGCATGTGGTGAAGAAGATAATCGCTCAAGCCGCATGCACGTGAATACGCGGGGTTGCGGGTGGACGTTGGTTGCCTGCGGCTCTCACAGCGCAGACATCGAGAGCCAATGGTCTATTCGGAATGGAACAATGTTTCAACGAGTACGGTCCGTCTGGCCATCTCTTCAAGGTGTATGCAATGTGGTGGGTTGACAAGCTTACCTCTTGGCGCGCAGCCTGATCTGAATAGGCAGTGGTTATCTGTAATTTTCTTGGTAGAATCTCTAGTACGATGACTCATGCACGATCTCACTTCCTATAAGGAAAAATACTATAATCAAAATGCATATGCCCCTGGTTTAGTTGGGTTCAAGAATCATGTGTCAATTTGGAAGTTCACTCGGTCAGAAGAACTCCTACTTGGCAAACTGGGCGGACATCTCTGAATAGGAAATATATGATAGATCGATAACAGCTCACACGACCAAATTAGTTCTTTCTAGTATCTGTGGGGTACAGAAGGCCTCAGGTTGCCCCTAACAGCAGGTTACAAGAGCTTCCTTCCTGGAATCAGGGGACACTCGTGAGGTTTCAGTGCAAGACAAGCTCAGGCAAGGGTAAAACACTCTTACAGAAGAGAGATTCTCAAACCATAACAAGAATCATCCTACTTCATACTAAGAACATCTCTTGTATATGATTAACACATGTAGTTTAGCGGGGGCATCGTAGATTGCTCTTCGGAGTTCCGAGTACCCTTAGACCCGTGGGGGAGATATGAGGTTTTCGATCAAGAAGAAAGTCCTCCCTTGTCTCGTCACAACTTCAATCCGGCTTCCTCAATCTTGGGATATAATGGTCTTGGGATGAATAGGCATTCCCTCAGTCTTGTGCCCGCAATTCTCGCCAAAAGAAAGAAAAGGACTAGAGTTCTTACAAAGACACCAGCCTCTTAGAAAAGCCAGCAGCAGCCTATTAAAGTATGTGTATTTATGTAAAAGTGAAGCGTTCTAAGCTTCCCTCCAGAGGTTTATAAACCGGCTTCAGCCGGCCCACAATTCACGATGGCATCAACCAAACTCATGTTCCTCTAAATCCCGACAAACGTGTTCAAGAAGATGGGCAGTGGTATCACTGCTCTCTGTAGACCATCAACAGGAAACGGTTGACTCCATAAGATCGAAGACGACGAAGATGTGACGAGTCTGGCCAGCGCCCAAATCCCGAGGCCACCGACTAGACGTTTCGACCACTCAGGGTGGGATCGACCATCCGATCAGGCCATGTCTCGTCTCTCCAATGAAACATCGTCTCTATCATGATAAGAATCCAAAAGACAAATGGAAACCGGGCATGCCAAACAGGCTCAAAGATCGCGCAAAGGAGAAGGATGCAACTCAATGAGGCCAACAGCGACAGAGCGGCCATGGGTAGTTCAACCGGCCTTGTTGAGCTCATCAGCACCACGGAGAACGCGGAAAACATGACAAAAAGTGGCGAAATGAACAACACGAAAACGATCGGGTGTCTTCGTATCTGGAGATTTCTTCTCCAAAGAGTGATAAACCACAGAGCGACTGCGAAAAAACCAAACCACTTAGAGTATACGGCCAGAGGCAGAACCAAGAATATACCAGAGCCAAGAAGAAGAGAGTACGGCGAGTACACTGTGCTTGTCTCCCAGCCGCGATAAAGCGACCAATAGGCTTTCGGGTTTCGTAACAAAGAGTAGTCCGCCACGAGATCGACCACGTCCATCCCGAGCGCGAAATTCGATTCAACGTGCACCCGTAGATACATGTTATACTTCTGAGATCTTATAACTCGAGATCGTCTGTAGTATTGTGCCAACGATGATACGAATGCTCCGAATGGCAGATAACTTTCTGGGGAATCGTCCATTTGCGCAAGTCGAGGAGGTCGGGAGTGAGACATCGTGATGATGTGCTTCACGCCTGCGCCCTCAAAATTTGGTGTGATCCAGATGAAAATTTGGTGCTGAGGCTCACCGAGACAATAATTGGACCTGATACTTATGACGTGGTTTAAGAAAGAAGGGTACCGTGCCTGCTCGTGAGTTGTCAGTAGGCGTCCAGACGTGGAGGTCCAAGCCTCCCAGCACATCTGAGGAACCACACTGTCTACCGTATAGCCGTGCGGCAAAGAACGAAGCACCACGACGCCTGCGGCGTACTGATTCGACATTCCCGTGGTCTGTGAGCTTCGAGGTGTTTCCGAATACAATTTGCGACGAATAGAACGCAGTGACGACCATTCTCGATCAAACGATCTCAAGGTTGAACAGATGCGACTACATTTGTCCCCCTGTATTTCCACCGGTATGGCTAGAACATTCCAGTATGAAGTTGCTCTTCGGCACATGAGACTTGCGTAAGCCCGCCTGCGTCTAGATGAAGATAAAGGCACCAAGGCAGTGCTGAAGTCGCGCGCGAAAAGCTTAGCGGACACACGTTCGTAGTCGTATACGATTGTCATGTCCATTAGAATACCTGCGTTGCTAAGAGCAAATGGGGATGCCTTCTGTTCCTTTCTGCAGGACACAATATCACCGCAGAGGAGGAAATCGTCTGGTGATGCGGCTAACCAGGATGTGGAACCATGCAGACCACCGTCTGAAGGTTCAACGACGAATGATTCTGCGGAATGCCAGGCGAATATTGATTGATCTTCGGTCGTCCGTATCAGTTCTTCTTGCAGCCGAAAAAAGGAATTCGCTCCACCCTCGCCGTACAATAGAGGCAATCGGATATCAAAGACACCGAGGAGGCTGTACGCCCTTTCCTCTTCCCTGGTGGTCCTTCTTTTTGAGGCCCAAGACATACGCGCTGCGATCGATGCTTCAAAAAGTGGTCGGCCTTTCAGGTACTCCCCGTCGATGCCGGTGATACTGCTGATGACCTCGCCTAGCTGCGACTTGCTACCGTGCCGAGACCAATCTGTCGAGTAGAACTCCAAGTGGTCAGGCGCTAGTAGCTCCTGGAGCGTCCAGCCTCGCGTAAACCACTTGCTGTTCGCAAACGGTGAGCCAGCATCAAAGGTCGTATCGCTCGGCACATCAGCCAGGAAGGCGTAGCACACCACAGCCTCCTTGTACCAGCGGAACATTGCGTTGATGGCCTCTGAGAGTTCGGCGCTGCTCGTTTTATCTATGCAGCAAGTATCGATCCAGATATAATCGAAACCGTTGTTCAGCGCCTCCTTTGCAGAGTCGAGAAGCTTAGCGTAGCCGGCCTTGGTCGAGGCTGTTTGGTTCTCCATGTCTTGAAACGTAACTTCGCCATCCTCCCAAGTGTGCGATAGGATGGCATACCGAGGGATTCTGTTTGGGAGAAATTCCTCTACTTTGAGAGTGGTAGTATTCAGAAGACGCATCGTGAGAATGGTCGAGGTTACTGATGGGCGCAGAAGGTGCGTACAGCCAATTTCATTAACTCAACCTCTCCTGAATGGGGTTTGTGAATGTCGAAGACAACAGCTGGCGATGTTGTGGGAAAGGTAAACGGAGTTTGATTCACAATTGTCCCAGCCTGATCAGGCAGCGTAAGCCTCCCGGTTGCCTCTCTCGTATGACGCTGCATGACCAGAGACAGGCGTGATTGGATGTTCTCTCGTCAGGCAGCTGTGGGCGAACTACCCCAATGCAAGCTGCTGGATGATTCGTCGACTAATGTTTTGCCATTTTTGTGTCTCGAGATATCGTAAGCGACTGCGGGCGACTGAGAAACTCAAGACTCCTACAGTTAAATTCAATGAAGAAGTCGCTAAAGACTCATTTCTTGACTGTCAGCCGAAGTAACGTGCTGGACATTCTGTGATGTCTAACCCCGCCAGGCTGATCAAATTTCGGCCGACATCCTGCAAAAATACCGATATGGAGCATCCGAGCCAAGGTGAGCCCAGGTTGACACCCAGAGCATATCATTGGGAAAGAGATAGGTTGCTATCCTCAGAAATGTGCCGATGACATCCACGTCAGATCGAGGAATAGTGACGAGTTGATCAGATCAAACACGCCATTTTCCACTGCCAAGAATGTCCCCGTGTGTCATCCAAACGGCCTTGTTTCTTGAGGACGCTCAAAACACCAAGCAAACCACGGCGAGAACGATCGTGATGGGAACCGCTGTCGCGTGTTGTTTGGTTAATCCCTTATCATCGAAATAGAGTTGGCTTGGTAAACCGGCATCTGAACGTGCTGTAACCCTGTCAGAGCTCGGGCTTGGCCGTTTTCGGACTGGATCCATGGTGCAATCCAACTCCCCCAGATCGACGATGTATGCCTACAAGGTGCTACTTTTGTGTACTTGGCAACACTGGTTCACTTCGACTTGCTGGCTTTGACATCACCCTCTTCGATCATTTCGTCACTGATATATCGTAGCTGACAGGGACGTGCATACTCGAGGAAATATGGAGCCTTGAGATTGGCAGACGCTGAGGCTTCACCCACCACCTTGGGTTTGGATTCGAGAAGCGCGGGGTAAGAGAGACTGAAGAAGAGACGGCGCGTGACCGCTGCAGCACACGGGCTTTGACCTCAGGGTCCACAGCGAGCCCTGCACCGCGGCGCGGAGCCGGAGCTCCGGGAAGGATCAGAAGCGTCCCATGGTTGAGCAGGAACAAATAGTCGAGATAACAAGCCTAGCAGCGCTGTGTACCCGGAGGCGAATGAAGAAGTGGCCATTTGTCAACGTGGTTGTAAGCAGTACACCAAGCCTCTTGGTGCTAAGCTTTCTCGTGACACAGCGAGACGCATGGCCTCTGTGGGACAGAAGAATCCGAGGAGTCTGGGCAGGCTACCAAGACGAGCCAGCTGCGTGGCCAAGGAACGGTTCACGGTTGTCGTGCGACTAGCGGGAGGGCTAATTTGGCAGCTCGGGAAAGCATCTGGCCAAGTCCCCCGTGGTGAGATGGGGCGATTATGGAGACCCGGAATTTGCGGGGAAGTCGACAGGTCGAAAGCATCGAGGATGGTGATGGATGGTGATCCTTGTGACGAGTCAGGAAGAGAGGTGGATAGTCCGGGGAAGAAGTTGAAGAAAAGGTTGGTCAAGCCAAAACCTGGAAGGTCGGATGTGTTCAGATTGGCTCGTTGACAATAAGAGAGGGGGTGGTATGCGTACTCCGTACTCGTAGCAGAGGGAATCAGCTAAAGGTGTGCTTTGTTGGCCAGGGCCGCACCTGAGTTTGTTATCCTGTCTCCGAGGTGGTATCAAGGAAGCATGAAAACTCTGTGGCGAGTCGTGGAGTTGCGTCGAGAGAAACAAGTCCCCATCATGCGTCAGGATGTCAATTGACTCGCAGTGAATCAGGGCAGCTGCCCATCTTTCCAGATATGAGGTGGAAGGGCAGGCGGGCCCATGGACCTTTTGCTGGCTGCAACCATCAAGTGCCCACGTCCCTCCTTACCCGCCGGCGGCTCAGAAAGGAGGGACGACTTCGCGAATCTCTCGTTGGTGAGATGCTGCGCCGCGCCGTCTATTCACCCTGGCCAGCGAGACAACCTGGAAATGGCGGTTGGTGTGGTGAGCGTGTCGCTGACGGACGGTTTATCTACCCGGGGCAGGACCGGTTAGGGGCCATCTGCATGCCAAGTCGACGCTGTCACTTGGAGATTGCTCCAGCTCTGGGCTGGTTGTGAACGATGCTGGTACAGCACAGGCTGCGTGACCGGTGTGGACGAACGGTGACATGTCCGGTTCGTTGCGGGCGACAGAGGTGACAGACCAAAGTGAAGCTAAGACCGTCGACGCTAGTCAGAAGAGGCAATGGGAATTAGAATGTGGTGTCGAAAAGTCGAGGGATCGGAAAGCTTCAGGTGGACGTCGAGAAAGATTAAGAGCAGGCGCCAGACGGGCCAGACTGAACAGAAAAGAGGGTTTCGTTTGAGGAGGAGGAAAACGGGCGTCGGATTGGGCGAGATGGACTGAAGCTCTCAGTGACATGAGTTTAGTGCTTGACTTTCGTCCGGCCTGAGGTCAAGGTTCTTTTTCGAAGCTCGGGATGTTTTAGGTGGGCAAAACATGGGCAGATGGTGGTGCTCGAGGATGAGCCCATGGTGGTGCTAGGTGGCGAGAGCGGGCATGCGATGGCACGCAAGATGGGACGTCTGTCTGTTCGTCGTGCAGTGCTCAGATGGGAGAATGCATTGAGTTCGGGATACGTCGAGTACGACGGTATGCGAGTTGAATTTGGTGTATTGGTGCAATCGGAGTAGAATGTGTGGATGAATGTCTCTGAGGTGCAGATGGAGATGCGGTAGTGAGCCAGTAGCGCGTGGTACGTACTCGAGGTGGGATTGGTGGTTGCTGCAATGGAACGTAGAAGGAGCAGGGGCAAGGAGGGGAGCAGGGGAGTCAAGTGGGAAGGAAAGAGAGGGCAGGAGCAAGAAGAAGAAGGCAGGCAGGGGAAGGTTACTGCCCGTGTGCCCGATACTAGAAAAAAGGGACATCCAAGGAAGGAAAGACACAGGAAAGGCAAACCGAACATTCAGATTCAGGACCCTTTTCTCCTTCCCTTCGCTTCAGGTTCCCAAGCATTTTTGTAGGCAATGCCAGGCTCTTGATAGGCCGGCTGGGTTGGGAAGGAATGCAGCAGGTGCAGGTGGCTTCCAAACGTCGCTGGTTACCCCGCATTTACATTGGGTGACGTCTTCAGCGAGGATCCGGCCTGTTCGCGAGTGCCTCTAGCGGCCCTAAAGAAGGCTAGCGGTAAAAGGTACCGCCTTCCAGGTGTCTAAGAGAGCTTTCGTGATTGGATGATTTGCCCACGAGCTCTGCAAGCTTGGGGTTAGGGACTTGCTGGGGGTGCCAGCGCTGCCGCTGCCGTAGCCTCCGCGTCAACCTAACCATTCCAGGGCCCAGACGGTCTTGGTCTTGCCTAGGTTTTGGTGCAAGATTGATTTCCTGCGTGCCGTTCATTCCACTTTCCTCTCCACAGATCCCGCATTATCGAGCGCGGGTCAGAGATGCAGGTAAGGTGGGCAGGAACCACCGGCTGGGAAAGAGGGAAAGAGCGAGAGAAAGTGAAGGTGCAGGTGCAGGCAGGTGCAACTGCCTCCTTCAAGCCCAGGGACGCACCTGCCTCAGAACTCAGAAAAGTGACCTGGATGTTTCCTCCCAAGACTTCGCGTCGCGAACATCAGTAGATCACTGCTCGTGTCCGCTTACGATCCATCCTTCTCAACATCAACATCACCGCCTTCTTGCACACTCATCTTTCTCCACGGTTTACGACTGCAATACATCAGAAATCCACTCAACAACCCACGCACAGAGATAAGTGCTTCGCCCGTTTGATCAACCACTCAACCTAGACCCAATCTTCCAACTTTGAGCCACCCTGCCACCTGTTTGCTATACGACAGACGGGCCCTGATAAACGGCTTGACGGCTTGTCGGGCGCTCAAACAAACGCCGGCCGACACACCGACACCGCACCCAATTCGCCTCCTTCCCCCACACGCACCACCGCCTATCATCACTTGCCTGTCCTGGTACGGTACGGTACTGGCACAGTTGCACAGCAAACACCACCACTCAAGTCCAGTCCAGCTTCTGGCACACACCAATCTCAGCCAAACCATCTGAGAACCAGCCATCCATTCCCCCCTATCCACAGGGCACCAGATTGTACGCGCAAACCCTCAGACCCTGCCCCCTACCACCTACCACCATCTACATCTGCCTACGCTCTCAGAAAGTACACCTTCTGCCCACAGACTGCCTGCCCCCAAACCCCGACGTCACTCAATTTAGAGCTTCCACCTGCTTACTGATTGTCCAAGAACACCGCTCAAAGAGTCGATACCCCCGTCGATCTGCCCACCCTTCAGCCCTCACCTCACAAATCAACTCCAGGCACAAAGACGACGGTGTGTACAAAAGACATCCGTCGTCTTGACTCCAACCATCACACCTTGTCTATCTCGACCAGCAAACCCCTTGATCGACACTTTTCTCGACGGCGCACTATCCGTACGCTCGTCCCATCCCTGGCCTTCCTTGTGATCAACCTTTCGTAACCCGCCCTTAGTGTCACCCTAAATCAGTCCATCCGCCATCTCGATATATAACCACCCTGTTCCACACATCCGCACCTGTCGAACCATTCCCCGTTCGATCCCTCTTTCGATTCTTTCTAGATCTCACCCCATGCAAGACACCCGCCGAAACACCACTTGCACTGCACTCTGACGACCCAACTGCCCTGCCCTGCCTCGATTCGACAACTCAACAAACATATAACTGCATTCCCGAATCCGCCCCCAATCCGACTTTCGCCCATCATGTCCACCGACAACGCCAATAACAACACCAACTCCTCCAACAACCCGAACGAAATGCATCGCCAGCGCCGCGGTTCCGTCACCCAGCAAGCCATTGCAGGCTTGTTCCGAAGCAACTCGACTTCGACCGGTGCAGCTTTCCCCACAGGCACCGCCGATGCTCAAAGACGCCGTCTCTCCGTCTCCACCGGCCTCGGCCTCACTGGCACTTCGCCCACCGGCCCCAACGCCTTCAACTCCCTGAGGCGCGGAAGTCTGTCAACCAACTCCAACGACTCCATCGATGAGAATGCCGTTGACGAGGAGGAACTGCCTCCCAACGCCCGAACCGCTCCCACAACTCCCTTCACTCGCAGAATGAGCTTCGGAGCTCAGGCGATGCGCAACCTGCGCAATGGCGGTGGAAGTCCGGGATCAAACGGTAACAACCCACCTGCTTCTGCTTATCCCTTGCCCACGACACCTGCTTCCTCCGACAGACGCAGCAGCGTCTCCCCTTCGGCTGTTGGGACCGGGGCGAATGCCACGCCGCCCAACAGTACTTCGTCCATCGCGGCTGCTCTGTCGTCGGCCAGACGTGGCAGCAGTACTGCCCAGGCAAGCAATGCACACAGGCAAAGATCATCTTCTGACGTTTTCTCGCGCCCAGACCAAGGTTTCAACTGGTCCGAGCAGCTTAGATCTCGCGCCGAGAGCTCTGTCCAGGGCCCACGACCTTCATTCTCCTTCGGCTCCGGCCTTTCAACCTCGCCTCCCCGTGGCGTGCCCAACGGTCAACATGACCGCACCAAGTCCGTCTCCGACATGCCTGCCCCGCCGGCCCAGGCTGCCGCTATGAAGCCCAAGGCGCCTGAGCGACCGAAGCCCGATGCCTTCCAGGAGCGCATCCTGAAGGGCGACTTCTACATGGACTGAAGGGGTTACGGCAGGCTGTTACGTTGTGTTGAGCATTTGCCATCCTGCGAACAGCTTCGTCATAATATGTTCAGATTTCATTGCACGGAAAACGACAAAAAGATCATCAGCGTTTCACGAGTTTCGAGCGTTTTGTTTGTTTGTTTTTTACCTGGGGAATGTTCACCGTCGACTTTACCCCACGTGGCGTTCAGTTGGTTCGGCCGGTTATGGTGGCCCGGTTGCGGTTTCCATTTGGGCGGGGAACACCATACCAGATGCACTTGAGACACGTTGTCTCACATATCATTACGGAAGCGGAATAGGAGTGCAATTTCACGAGGAGTTGACACACGGCGTGTGGAATCTGGAGGAGGATGATGGCAAATTGCAGGATTTCGGGTTGCCAAAATCTGGTCCGGAAAAAGATCTCTCTGGCTATTGTTTGCGGCCCATCACGGCAAGGATTTGATGGTGCCGCCAACCGACATGACTTCATGTCCGGCGTACGGAAAGGAAAGGGTTACTACTGTATCGTTACACCGCTGGCGGCTGCACAGCGAAGGCGTGGGCAAGGGAACTCGTGGTGGACAGACTGAAGCATGCTCATGTTTTATGAGGGGACCAAGACAGGTACAGAGTTCAGAGTAAGACAGGCGGGAATGAGGGGTAGGTTCCCGGGTCGAGAGGCGGATGAACGGCCGGCAGCGAACGCCGAGCTTAGCTACCACGAGAAACACGCTCGGACCCGAATCAAAAGAGTTTCTGGTCCAAACCGCTCTGCTGTTTGTTAGAATGTGACTCTAAGCCTCCGTTGGTGGTGAGCATCGCCGGCCGAAAGACCGGCACGCCAGACCTATCGCCAAACAGGTCTCCGTGGACTTGACGTGGGATATTAAACTGGGACCCCGAGGTATCCCGCCTGGTTGGTAATCACTCCCATTCGCCGTTCCATCCGGGAAGGATTCCAACGTGCATCTTCCAAGAAAAAATAGGTAAAAGAGTGGTATCCATTTGCGCCCTAATGCTTAATTCCCAAACCCCCAGGTATCACGTAACGAATAACTACATTAAAACATACAAGCTTTCCTCGTGTGCTCCGGCTGCTCCACAGGGCCGCGTCTCCCTCCCCCGTTGTCATACTGCCCAAGTCCGGAGATGTCGGTCATCCATCCGCTCGAAGTATCTTCCCGAATTCTCGACCGAGTAGGAGATACCCATGCTTTTTGTTCCTCCCATTCCATCCTTCGTTTTCCCTCTTTCCGAAACAAACACATCTCCTAAGAGAGAGGTGTCACGGAAAAGGTTAAATTTACCGCTGCTCGCGCCGTGTATAATAAGAAGATGAAGTGAGAGAGAGATCGGAGAGTGTACCGCAGCAAGAAGCTTCGGTTTCGGGGGGAGGTGTTGAAAAGTGACAGATGCCGAGAGGCCTCGATCATCCTTGTTCCGGGGCGAGCTGGGCTTTGCTCGGCGGAGGATGAGGAGTGATAAACTCAACCGCCCGAAAAGGGGGTCGGAGATAGGCACGCAACCCCCGGCGGGCCCGGATCCAGGCCCTCCAAAGAGCGGCTCAGTCGGGTTTCCTTTTCAAACTGATGAGAGAGAGGGAAGAGAGATAGACTGTTTGAGTCCCGTCCTTCACATGGGAAACATGGGCGGCCCACCACCCCCCGGCATCCCCTCGAACATATCGCCCAGCGAGCCCAACCCGCTGAGCCACGGGTCCTGCGCCATGACGTACCGCATCCCGTTCGTGAGGCTCCCCGGGCTAGCCCCGAATCCGGATGTGAACTCCTCCAGCGACAGGCCCTCCGCGAGGCCCACGTCGATGCCCATATCCTGCAGGTCGCCGGGCCATGCCTGCGGCATCCAGCTGGCGGCGTTGCCGTCCATGGCTGCTGCCGCCGCGGTTCCTGCACCGCTGGATCCCCCGGTGTCCGGGCCGGATCCGCCGTCCATGGTCGGGGTCACCACCGAGGGGTCGTACATGAAGGACTGCCGGGACGGGGGCGGGTTCCACAGCATGTTGTTGGAGCCGCCCCTGCTGGCGGAGCGATCGTTCGTGGCGATCTCGGAGAGGAGGTGGAGGGGCGTGTTGGCGGCGGGGTATTCCTGCATCGCCGGCGTCTGCTGGAACGCGGGTCTCTCTTCCGCGGCGGCCGTAGCCGTAGTCGCAGGGGTAGGAGCAGGATTGCCCTCCGCGGGCCTCGAAGCGCGATTCGACTCCGCAAACGCCTTAGCCACGGCCTCCGACGGCGGACCGGCGCCGCCGAGCCCCTTGCTCTGCTTCAGAAACCAGCTGCGCAGCATGACCAAGACCACCAGGAACTTGGCGGCCGGGCGGCTACGGTCGTCCGAGGCGGCGGCCCTGAAGCGCTCCAGCAGGGCGTCGAGGTAGTACTCGACCTTCATGTTGTCCTTGTCGATGACCTTGCCGAGCTCGGAGCCGGGCGCGGTGGCGGAGAAGTACATCTTGATGAGGACGACGACGGCATAGGCCACCCTGACGAAGTTGAAGACGGGCAGGCAGCGGATGCGGGGCACTTCCATGGAGAGGAAGGCCTCGAAGATGCCGTCGATGGCGGAGAGGCACGCCGAGAGGGCGTTGATGTGCGAGGTCGTGAGGGTAAGGTTCGGGAGCATCCCGTCCTTGAGCGTCGCCGTGTCGAATGGCGGCCGGATGTCGTCGAGCTGCGTGTGCAGAGCGATCTCGTGCATGTACAGTGACAAGACGTGGAAACTCATTTTCAAGGTAGCTGTGTGTAGCGCATCAGCAAGAAACTTCAACTTCGTCCACTAGAGTGAACTCACCTCCCATTTCCTCCTCGGGCACTGCCTGACTGTACTTTTCCAGATCCCTCTCCAGCATCCTCAACGAGTACTGAGTCCTCGAGTCCGTGATGTTCGGCACGACGGCGGGGTCATCCATCGCAAACTGTGTACCCACCTCCTCCGCAAGCCGGTGCGTCCAAACGAGGTGACAAAAGTAACGATCCGTCGGCGCCGCCTTTACGTTGGTCTGCAACTCCTGCATACAATCGGCCATGAAACCCGTCCACCTCACTAGGTTCGGCCTATGCAACGCCATACTCGTGTTCGCCGCCAGGAAGTAGCACGCGAGCCACGCCCGCCTGCACTCGAGGCTCGTCGGGTCCGGCGGCGGCGCGCGCTTGAACGGGTGATTCCTCCACTGGTACGGGATCTGCATCTTCCTGCCGCCTGACTTCCTGCCGAGCCCGATGTCGAGCGCCATGACGGCGCCGATGTGCACGAGCTGGTAGAACTTGAGCTCTTCAAAGTGCTCTGGCGGCCAGTACCAGATCACGGCGACCTGCAGCGCCTGCACGATCTCGAGGCTCTTCTCGCCCGTGACGATGATTTTCTCCGCAAAGATCTGCATCAGCTCCTTGACCAGCCTCCGCTGCACGTTGGGGCTCTCAGACGAGGCGACGGACATGATGGCGAGGAAGAGGAGCGGCTTGGACCGGCGCAGCTCGTCCCCGGTGGTCCCCGGCGGGAACACCACTGCCGGCATGTGCGGCATCATGTGCGTGTTGTACCGCTCGAACAGCTCCGATGCCTTTTCGGCGCTGAGGATCCCGCGCTCCACGACGTCGGCGTAGTCCGCGCCCATCTGGATCGGCGGCGCCGGACGATTTGCCTCGGGGATCTCGGCGGGCGTGTCTGCCGTGTCGCCTCTGTCGTTGAACTTCCTCTTAATTCCGGCCGCCTCAAAGCTCCTCCTCTCCCCATCGTCGTCATGCGAAGGCCAGGTCCTTGCCATTCCATGGTCCCCCCACCCCCTTCGAAACGGCGTCTCCTCCCTCACACTCGGGGTAGTAGCAGCCACCGTCGGCGGCACGCTCGCCGGCGCAGCGGCCGCGGTGGTCCCACGCGCCTGCAAGCTCGCCGTAAGGGCATCGATCTTCTTTTCCAGCTCAGCGACCCTGCTATCCGTCTTCTTCTGCCTCTTCCTCGTGGGCATGGTGACCACACAATTCCTCCCCGCCTTCTTACACCGTTTACATGGCCCATCTGGTTCGTTCGCATCCGGCTCGCACCGCACCTTCAACCCCCTGCACGCCTCGCAGGCTCGGGGCCGCTTCGGGTCGTCCGTTGCATGGAGGGCGTCGTGCGGCGTTTCGCCGGAGCCGTGCGTGGAGTGCGGCGTCTCGGGGGATTGGGTGTCTGCCGCCGCGTCATGATGTCCCTGTCCCTGTCCCTCGGGGCCGCTTCGCCCGGATGCGGCAGCTGCTGCAGCTGCGTTCTCGTTATCGTGTGTCGCGGGGGCTGCAGGCGCGGCGGCGGTGATTGTCCCACCGTCTCGGCCGTTTACGGGCGGCTCCGCGCTTCGTAACGCTGGATCGAGGACCGACGTTCCGTAATCCATTGTGTGGCGGATGCAAAGGCCTTGGCTATGAGTTGCTGGAGAAAGTGATATCGGATGATCGGGGGACGGAAGTGCGGCGGTAGAACTTGCCGACTTTCGCTGAGGTGAATTCGCGCGGGGTGTGAAGTGCCGACACTTCCGACACTAACAAATATGGATTAGTCATCGTATTTCAAGACAACGCTATTAAGCACTTCCTCTGTCACCTTAGAGTCAAGCTGGAAATGTATGTAGTCTTTGGCAAATCTTTATTGTTCAAGCTAAACATCTTGCGAGGATGCTAATTTCCTTGCAAACAAGCAAAGTGAAAACCAGGAGACAGACTGCAAGTCGCAGTCCAAGCCTTCAACGCCATGCTAAACCCGGAAATGTCATGCATGAACTTAACGACAATTGCTCATCGGCAACCACCCTTGGAAACTAGAGGCCCTATGATACAACTTGTCCCGTGAAATCGTCTGCTCATGCACCCAGGCCTCCATAGCTGTCTTCTCCCATTAATGCCCGATCTCTTCGATTTAAGGCTCATTTCATAACTCAAAAAAAATCGACAAAGGGCTACACTCGCAAAAGTAGCGATCGATATTAGAAGTAAAGGTGCTCTCGGCGCCGGTCCGGAATCAAATGATATGTTCGGGTATATTGGCGCCATCATGTCGTCCGCGCCCACAAGGGCTGGGTTGTATAATAAACTCGAAATGAAAAAAATTCAAGGCATGGTATCAACGCTGCGTATAAACGAGTGGGTATGCTGCTGAAGAATGGTGCGGAGGTGATGTCATCTAGCCGCACCTAGAATCGGGTCTCCTCGCGGAGTCGGCTTTTTGAGCTCTGAGGGTTCAAGCCCATCATATTGCCCATGAAAATGGCACTCTCTCTTCGCTTGTGCGGCTGGTCATAACCGCCAGAGCCGTTGTCGTAGCCACGGGCAACGCCGTGGTAGCCGTTGGTCTCGTATCCCTGTGGCATGTACTGAGGTTCGTAAGCAGTACCACGGTTACCGGGATAATTCGGTGGGGGAGTTGGCGATGATCGAGCGCTGTGCAGATCTTGCAAAAGAGGTGGCGGGGTCCCGCCGGTTCGCTGCTGACCCGTCATGGCTTCCATGAGTCTTTGCCGGTGCGGCGACTGACTTGATCCTGCTGAGGTAGAAGGACGAGCTTGCTGCGGGTCAAATGAGGGTCGGTTTGGAAGACCGCCCACCATGCTCGGCAAAGAGCCTGATCTCTCGCGGCCAGAGTCACCATCGAAAGACGACGGCAGCTCATACTCTTCAGGCTCGAATCCGAAAATGCCCGAGTAGTTCTGCAGGAGCATTGCAAACACAGGCGCCGGTATGTTTAAGGTTGGCGAGAAGACAATACCCACGTTGCGGACTGTCATCTTGTTCATGTCGGCGTTGTTGATGATCTTGATCAAGAACGCAATGAGATACTTCAGCAAGGTAGCGTTGGCTTGGGGTAGCCTCTGTACCAGCTCAGACAGGGCGTAAATCTTCTCTTTCAAGCCGGACATTTCGGTAACTGCCAAGAACTCGAGATGGAGATCGCGAGTGAGTATGGTTGTGGGAAGTTCGCGCAAGTACAGCTTCAGCAGGGAAGCAACAGCGTGGATGTCGTAGTACGTCTCGTCAGTGACCAAGTTCACGTCACCTTCCGTGTTGAAACGCTCCCGAAGCTGCTTGATGACGACGTTGGAACCGCTCAGGCGGAAGATGCCTTCCTCGAGGATAGCGTTCTTGGCGTCCAGGTATTGAATGCATCTGTAAACGACGGCGGGAAGTGGCACGTTGACATCGACAGGATGGTTGTACCGGACCGCCTCAGCCAGTGGAGCTCCAAACGCCTGACGGATGGGACCAGCGTAACCGCCCTGAGGAGGTGTAGATGAGCCGCCGTCGTTTCCACCAAACAACGAGTCCTGACCGTCGGAGGATGATCTTGTCTTAGGCCCAAATCCGAAAAAGCTACGCTTTTTCATCTTCTTTTCCTCGTTGGCTGGAACACCCAAGCCCGGCTTGTTGTTGCCCCATTGAGCTGAATCAGCAATGGGTTGCATGTCTCTCGGGCCCGAAATCATCATTGATGGCTGCGAAGACATGCCCATCGCCTCGGGATGATGGTAGCTGTCTGGCATAGGCCCAGGACCTCTGCGCACCGGAGCGCCGTGTGCTGGAGCAACATGCTGAGGCAGGTCGCCTTGTGACGTGGCATCGTAGCGAACGCCAATGAGGCTTTCCGACTCGGTTGGCTGGTGTTGCGAAACTGTCTTCTTGTACCGCTGCTTCTTCTTATCAGCGCGCTCAGCAGCGGCAGCCGCTTGACGCTCGTGTGCTGCCTGCTTCGCTGCCTGATGTTCTTCCTCTTCGGGATCCTTGTAGTCAATCCATCGGAGCAATGCATCGACCCACTGGTCTCTTTCCTTATCGTTCTCGGCGCAGAGCACGTGCTTCACGTGGCTGCTGGAATCCTTCTTCTTGGGCTCCAAGATGAGGAACGCATGGCGATACTGGTTGTCAGCCTCTTCCGAATTTGCTGACAGCTGCGGTGACTGATTGTCGTTGCTCTGAGACTGCTTTCCGATTTGGGCACTGGGCAACTTAATGGTGCCGAGATGAGCACCGCCCGGTGTCTCGTAGTACTTCAGATGAGGCCCATCGAGGACGAAAAAGCGCGCCTTCCAGCCTCCAAAGTTCTTCCCTCGCTTAGTAAGATAACCAGTTCTGAAGGGACGTCCACCCGGTCCGGATTTGGCCTTCGTCTCTACCAAGGTCTCCATTGAACCAGCATCGTCAGCATTGGGAGGGAGAGTGTTGGTCGAAAGGTATCTGCAAAGCTCTACGGCACTTGCAGTATCGAGAGGGCATTCCAGAAGCTCTTCCAGATAGTGGTCCAGGGCTATGCGTCGAGCGTCCAGCTTGGCCGGTGCGTGGCCGCTGAACAGGGACCTTTCAGGCGTCTTTGCAGTGAAAGAGGCGCACTGCTTCAGTCTTTGATCAAGCTTTGCAAGCGAAGCCGAGTCTTTCTCCACCCGCCACAGCTCTCCAGGGTCAGATCGAGAGTAGATAGCAAGGGTGAAGACAGGGTCCTCTTCAAGTTGGGTGAGAGAGATCAAACTTGCTCTCGAAGGTTTCATACGCGAAGACGCCACCTTGACAATGATCGTTGGTAGAACGTTTGGCGAGAGCAGCAGATCGGGATACTCCTCAGTGACAAATCCCTTGAAAATGCGACTGCGATCACCGCGCTCTGTAGGGCTCATGCGACTCTTCTCGCTGGCACTGGGTGAGTCGCCACCTTTCTTAACGATGTTGAGCGGCTGGGGGCTTGTCAAAACCATTGGCTCAGCTGCCTGTGGCGTCTGAAGAGAGTGGCCAGGAGGAAGTGGAATAGGCTGACGAGGAGGCCGCGGTGAAAGAGGCGCCGAAGGAAAAGCTCCAGCACCCCTGGGCGAGTGAGCAGGGCTGTCTGTGGCTGGGGCAGCACCGAATGGCCGCGGGCTTGATGGCAGGCCGGGGCTCAGCAGCGGAGCCTCGAGAGTTGGAGGGCTAAGAACGCCCGCTAGAGAGGCAGGGGCATTCTCTCGGTGCATTCGCTTGGGTGGGCTTGGCGGCAGATCCGTTGGTGCGGCAGGGACTTCAGTTGGTGTTCCCGTCTGGCTAGACTTGCTCTTCTTCGACAAGCTTCTCCTCTCAATCTCTTGTTGGACCAAGACTTCCCTGTCGCGGTCGTCCTCCTCCCGCGTCCTACGTCGACCGCGTGGCTCGGTGACGATTTCGTCAACCTCCAAGATGTCATCAAAATCGGTATCGCTGTCGTCTTCTTCAGCACCGACTTGACTCTTGTTCTGTAGTTGCAACGGGGCTGGTGGAGGTTTACGTGGAGGTGGCGCTGGGAATTGTGACAGTCCGGCGTCGGCGGCCGAGTCTGCGGACATGTGAGGTGCCATGGGTGGCTTCGGGGGAGGAATGCTTGGCGGCTGGCTCGGTAGACTTCGAGATGGCGGAAGGGATACGTTGAGCGGGAGGTCCATCAACTGTTCCGCCTCCTCCGCTTTCCTAGCAGCTTCCGCGGCTTGCTCCTCCGCGTCGTGGTTGTACTGGTCATACGCGTGTTCATGTGCCCTGGGCATTTCGTGCGAAGGATCCAACAGCTCGCCGACGGCTGACGGAGGCCCGTTTGGCTGGTCAGCCGGAGGAGTGATCGGGTAGGGCGCCATAGCAAGATCCACTGGGGAGTGCTTCTGGCTGTCGGAGTCCAGGGTCGGAGAATCCGGTGCCACGACCTGTCGCTCTTTCGGGGCACTAACGTCCACTGATGGAATCCCCCTGCTCACGGGCATCTTCATCACCTTGCTTACAGTTCTTGACCCGTCGGCACCTGTTGTCTCGGGAACAGAGATGACCTCTTTCAGCTTCTTCCGATATTTTTCCTTGTCTTTCAACGCCCGTTCCAAATCTTTGTTGAGGCCTAGAATCATGGCTCTCTGCTTGTCGACGAGGCGCCATAGTTGGGCGTTTTGTTGGGACTGAGAATGCTTCTCTTTCAATAAGTATTGAATGACCGCCTCTGGACTACCTGCCGTCTTGATCAACCCTGCGATATCTGTAGGGTCGGACTGGCTGAGCTGGGCGCCTCTTTGAGAGTGAGATTTTGTTGAAATAGCTGAGATGGCCGAGTCCATCGAAGAGTTTCGCGGCGCACCCTTTCCCGGGTGGCTCCGCGAGGCGGCGGCCGAGCCCCCGGAGGTAGACATTGGAGATCGAGGCAGGCCGGGAGAAGGCCTCTGAATCAAGAAGGGTTCGGAGGCGCTGCGGTTATCATTCGTAGGGAGCGGCGAGATTCTCGGTCTGCTGTGTCCGACTGTCAGCTATGCTACGGTTGGCCGCGCGGGGCGCGGGGGCTGTCATATCGGGAGCCGCGATGGGGGAGAACACATACCGTGGTGCAGTGCGTTCAGGCGTCGAAGAGCTAGACGAATCACTTTGGTAGTACGTCTGCGGTTCCCCTAGTAGGTCGACGGGAGAGCGTAGTTCGTCAACTGGTGTCGTCACGACCTCGGGGACTGTCTTGGATCGCGGCAAGGAGAAATTGCCGACGGCAGAAAAGAAAGAAGACGACCGGATTGAGAAGGGACTGATCGGCGAAGAAACGGCGGTGCTCTCGTGGAGAGGACTGGGTACCGGGCGGCGAGGAGATCTAGAATGTGGCAGAGGGCATCAGTTATTGTGCTGCCCCGGCCAGCGTCGTGAACTTTGAGTCCCACTAAATAGCAGCGCAACTATGGCGGACAAGGAGGGCAGCGGGATCGAACAAAGCAAAGAGTCAAGAAGTCGTGGATCTGCCAAGATGAACACACACACGATATCCTCGGAAGCCAGGGACCTAGGAAGACAGAGTCTTTTTGGTTCTCGCTCTGGCTCCGGCGGCTGGTTGGGAGAGAAATCGAGGATGTGGGTGGGTGAGCGACTCGCAGGTCTTTTTGGGCTGGTAGGCGTGGGAAGTTCAAGGTTGTAAAGGCAAGGTAGGGTCAAGGAGAGGAGCAGCAGCAAGAAACCGCAAAGCAATGAAAGAAGCAGCACAACGAGTGGACCGCTTCTCCTTTGGTAAGCAGTGCGGTGGAGAGCCTGGTGGAACGTACCTTGGAGATGGAGTCAGAAGAGGGCTGGTCACAGCAGTGGCACCGCTGTAGGAGTGACTGGCAGCAGGAGCAGCGGTACTGATGCTTGTAGTGCCTGTGGTGCTTGTAATGCTTGCAGGATCGGAAGCCGGGATTAGGAGGCCTGTCGTGGGGCTATCCTGGGAGGACTGGGAGGAGAAGTAGTTGGGGGAGACATCTGCAACCTGAAGCCGGTGTAGAGGGTGTTTTTGGTGAGGAGGGAGGCGAGCAGTCTGACCAGTATGACCAGCGTGAACCACAACAGCCCCAGCAGCGGAGGCATTGCCAGCGTCAGTCACGGGTGCAGAAGTAGCCGTCGAACCAGCATCAGCAACACCAGGACCAGAATCTGAAGTAGAGCCCTGGGCACTCCGAGTCTGGAGCGCAAGCTGCGACATGGTGGGCAATGCGACGGGAAGACAACTGGCCGGCGGCCCAACTGGGGGTGTGTGCAGGGTCAGAGCTTAACGCAGGACAACCTCGCTGAGGTTTCGAGATGCCTGGATGACCCTGACTGCCGTTGCATATATTACACCGGCCGCTTTTTTCTGGGTGATGTATTTTATTTTTGTTTTCTCGGGAGCGAGCGAGCGAAGGGGCGTGCCGGGACTGGACGGACGGTACGGAGATGGGGCCCTTTTGACGACGATGGAGCCAGACGACGTCTTCCCTGCACGGCGAGAGTCCACACAGGCTGGCTTTTCGCAGTAATGTAATGTATTGATGGTATCAATAAGCGTGGAGGCGGCTGCGATGCGGGTGGACAGACGGGCGGCTGCGGCGGGTGCAGTTCAAGTTGCAGTTGTATCGCGAGAGTTGGGTAGGGCAGGAGCAGGGCGAGTTGAGGTCGACGTAGAGGCAGAGGCGAAGAGGAGGTTGTAGTCGAGGCCGGCCAAAGCAGATCAGATCAGATGAATGGCGTCCTACAAAGGGAGGGAGGGGCCGTCCTGCTTTGTGGGAAGAATGCGTGAAGCGGTGCCTGGCTGAGACAAGTGCCCGTTGTCTTGGACAGGCGTGTATCCGTGACGGACGCGAGGACCATTGACCTTGAGTTTTGGACCCGAGCGAGGGACTGACTGCGCGACCGTGACGGCAAAGGTCGACGACAGAGTGAGGTGGTCGTGGCCTGTTCTCGTCGACGGTGTGCGTGGCCGGCGAAGGTTTGGAGATGGTAATGCGAATGCAAATACTCGACCACCTCTACACAGGCCTAGGCGGGCTAGAACGAGGTACAGTCGCAATAAGGTCGTCGTGGATGGATGGTACCCCTGAGTTCCCTCTTGCCGTTTCCAGTAACATGCGGAGGAGCGCTGATTCGTGGTGGTAGCAGCGGAACTGCGAGGTGCGAATCAGACGGGAGTTTTTCGACGGTTCAGTAATAATGGTGGGCTCGAGTTCAGTTCAGTCGAATCTCGTCCACATCATCCACCCAAGAACCGCAATGGAAGACCGATAATTAGCAGCGGGGGCGGCGGCAGCACCCAGCAGGAGGAGCAGGATGAGGATGACGACCGGGAGTAGGAGCAGGTGCAGGTGCAGGCGCAAGAGCCCGAGCAGGGTCGTACATCTGAAGGTAAACAGGGAGCCGGGGAATAAGATGGTTGGGACGTGGCCTGGGAAGGGTGTGTGCGAGGAGGAGAGTGTGTATCCGTACTGCGTATGCGTAATACAGAGAGTATCGGTCCTGCGTATGGCCGTCTGGATTTGTTGGTGTGGTTGCGGTTTGGGATGGTGTGTGGTGCCGTAGATGTGGTAAAGTAGCGGAGGTAGATGCTTTGTAAGGCACTCACTCGATCGAGACAGCCTTGAGGTGCCCGTAAAGTAGCGGCCGTCGACGTAAGGTAGTAAGGTACTTAGTGATAGCCGCTTGTTGTGGTTTTTGTTGCTGTTGTTGCTGTAGCCGTCGTCGTGGACGTGCTCCTGCCAGCAAGCCAATCTTCAGCAACGGCAACCTAAAATCAATAGGCAATAGGATGTCAGGATGAGTGGGCTAGGAATGGGATGCAGGAGCTGTACTCCGTAGGTGCTGGACGATGCGAAAAGTGTGTGTGGATTGGAGCTTCTTGTCTCTGCATCTGCCGCTGCAAGATTGGTGCCGAAAAGGGACGGCCGCAGAGGGGGTGGAATTTGAGGTTCCTGGATCCTCAAGTCTGGGGTTGCGAGAAGGAAATTGAGAAAAACATTGTTTGCCTCCTGTCCTGACCTTTCTTTGGCAATGGAAGAGATGGCAAACTGGCGCGATGTATCGGTAGCACTGACCTTTTCCAACATTTGCAAATTGCAATTACCTTTTGTTGTGATGCTCCTTGCCCTTTTCCTCTCTGTCTTTAGGTCCTTCTTGCTGGGTGAGGTACTTTTCCAGGTACCTTACTTCAGATTGGTGTCTTTCACAGAGACTACCTATCATGGAAATAACAGCAACAGGGGTACCTTCAACACCTGGCGGCCCGACAAGTCGCACTATTAGCAACTTGATACCTTGGGTTGAGGGTTTGGTGAGGAAATAGGGAGACGCTGCTAGTAAATAAGGTATTGGGCCCCTGGTGATCGAGACCCAGACTTTTAGTTGTTAGGAACGGGGCGGGGCGGATGCTACCAAGGGCCGGTACCGTTTGAAGTATCTTAGCATGTCCAGGCCCAAGTCGATACCTCACTCTGGTAAGATATGTAGGCCGATACAGAGTACTGCAAGTTACTGGGAGGACAGGTTTGCGGTACGGTACTTCCAAGTATGAAGCATCTAAAGGGGCAAGCGACAAAACAATCTCCCAGGGCAGCCGACCGAAAAGACGAAAGACGACCCGAACGAAGCCCGCGATGTTCAGGAGCGAAACATATGCGGGATGAGGTCCAGCCATTCGTGATGGCGAAACAGTGAAGGCTGTCTCTGGCACCTGCTAACGCGACGGGCCCTCTTCAAACCCGTGGATGGCGGTTTCGCGACGCTGTTGTACCTTTCATGCCAATTCTGGCAGAGAGGAACATTATTGAGGAGAGACATATGACGAGGGTCACTGAAAAGTGAGATAGATGCCTACGAACACTGCAGCACGCCGAAGATTCGTTCTTTCCTGCATGTGGAGTTCCACTGGGAGAATGGAAGGTGCTGAGTGCTGAGTCCGGACCTGCTGCTCCTGCCTTGCCTTTGCCTATCCTTCTCAATCTTAGACTCCTGCCTCAACACAGCCCATATGATAGGTAACGACCGGACGACATTTTTCCTGGGCCAACATAACAGCAATTTTACCACATCAACAACACTGGAGTGATGACGCTTCGCGGAATGGGTCGCTTCTGGATTGCCGTGCCCGCACCCACGCCAACGTTGGAGTCTTGGGTTTCTCGCGTTCTCTGGCCAGCCACGTGTTGCAACAGTTGGCGAACCCACTATCCACTGACGCACTTGAAGGTTCAACGCAATCCAGTCTCTTTGACAAGGCCTAATTTTGCAGCATTCGACGACATCCAGCCAAAGCCCGGGAAACAAAACCTGCTCTTACCGTATTTCATGCAGAGAGAATCTGATGGAACGCAACACAGACGATATTGCTTCGGACTACGGACCCTGCCGTCCACCGTGATGCACTGCATTACCGCTGCTATGCATTCAATTCGATATCTCGCCTGCTCTCCCGAAACATCGGCCTACTCGAAACATATCGGACCAAATAACAACGCCTGTCACTCGTCAGGGTGCGCTTCATTTACAGTTCAAGATTCTTCAACGTCATCATCCGTTGCGCGGACACGCTTGCCCGCAAAATCCGAATGCCAAACATACTGCCACGGCTAACAAGCCATCCGTCCGTTGCGCGATCAGGCATCTCAAGTCTTTTCAGCTCCGAACAACTCTCTGCGGGCTAATCTGTACGGATACCGCAAACCGCTAAGAATGCAGAGGAATCTTACCACTACCGCTGCTCCTCGCCATTTCTCCCCAGGCGCTGCATCTCACACTCAAAGACCGGATGCCGTGGGCCGCTCTCACACCCCAGATTCTTAACGCCACGACCCAAGGCCTTAATTAATCTCAGGACTGGGGTCTTGGGCTACTTCGCTCCAATCAAGCCCCTCGTCGCTTGATCAATTCATGACATTATTCTCCTTTCGGACACCAACCTCCATCAAAGAACCGACATAGTCGAGGGCGAGGCCAGTCACGGCCGGGGACAAAGGATGGCCAAAGCTATCAACAAGGATGGAAACTGCTCGTCATGGGAGAAGACGACCGTCAGTGGGTACTTGGAACGGGTTCCATCCGAACTGGGACCCAGGCCTTTACTGCACGAGATGTGCCCGCCAGAGCCTCTCCAGACTCCAACTCCTCCGTTCTCTGTCGCATTCGACATGCTATTAACAGCTGCGCCGCCGTACGACGTGTCAAACCGCAGAGGCCACAAAGCACCACCGTCCGTCCGGCCTTGACTGGATATCAACCGCTCTTTCTGCCTCAGCGCCAACATCTACCGTCAACTGTCAACTGTCTTTTGTCAAACAGGTGGTTCCAACTCCATCTGCCACGTCGCACAGCACACCGTTGCAGTCGTCTGATCTGTTTTGGGCCTTGCCGTCCTCCATTTCGATCCTTACCGTCCACATTCGACGTGAAGGCGGCCACTCTCCTACCTTCGTCGCCGCGAACAGCCTAGCTTCATTATGTGTCCTGCAGGAGGCATCAACATTTCTGCAGGTACCGACCAGCTTTCACACAAATGCTAGTTCCCCGAGGGGTTGGCCCAGGTCGGCTGAGCATTGGTTTGCCTGAACATCCATTTTGGCAGCTGAGCCCAGCACTTGTTCACCCGTTGGCCAAACGAGACTCAAGTGGTAATGATTTTACCAGCCTCACATCAAAGCCACGAAAGTACCTGCGTCTCAATCTTTCCAGCTGTCTGTGTCAAGTCATCCCTCACCTCCAACTCGAGCGCCCGGGGAAACAACCGCGAAACCTTCCCGTCCGGGATCCTCATCGCCGTCGTCCTGGGAGGTGGCGCTTTGACAGTTGTTTATCACCATCGAACATGGTCTTTAGGCCAATGCTATCAACCCACAGTAATTTTGTCATGAATTGTGGCTGGCAAACTCAACTAGCGTTGACTCTCTCATCACGAGCACGTTTACCTCCAGCGCGAGCAATATGGCCTTCAAATGATTCAAATGAAGAGGCTGACAGTTGGTTTGCTACGGAAGAAACGTTTTCCAACGCAAGCGCTGCGAGTACTTGAATCATCCTGAGCTGCCCACTACCGAAAAAGACAGGGTTTCAATCACAGGAACGCTCACCTTGGCAAGTCATATGCAGACAGGCAATGCTATCCGGAAATCTTTCACTCAGAACGCCATACCATGGTAAATGACCAATTCCGCGCATCAGCAAGAACCGCACGACAACCACCAT